AATTTTGAAGTACTGTACCAGATTTCATAATTTCCTTACTGTAGTCTTGTTCTTTAGAAGTTCTGATGTTACGGTCTATACAAGGATAATAAATTTTTCCTTCCCTGCCATATCTTGATAACTTATTTTTTAATAGCTGCTTCTTCACCGGCCCACCTTCTTTATTTCCGGAAAAATACGCTGATTACAGTAGCTTCCGACCCTGGGCTTTATTCTAAATCACATGCCATATATTAATATTTCACCTAGTAAGGACAAGCAAAGTTCATATAACAGTTTGCAAGAGAGAAGCAAAGGATTCTGGGAGTTGAGTCAAGCATCCTGTCAGGCTAATTCATCCTTCTCTAGCCAGGGCCCCACAGATTGGCCAACAGACACCAGTTGCCATTTGAGAAGGAAGAAAAGAGTGAGGGAGGCAGGCAAAAACAACATCAGTCTGCTCCCGTCAGACTGGTTTTCAGGTATAAAACATTCTCATTATATTCAGTTTTGGAAGGCTCAGAAATATATCTACCCAGTGCCATTTTTAGCATAAAATGAACAGTTCCTTTTCTTCCTGTTTTCTGAATTGAGAATTGGCTGCTGAGCATAAAATATCATTATCAGTGTTGCTTTCTCTCCTGGATTTTAGTAGGACGACTTTTGCAGCCAAAAGAGGAGCTACACACTTGGTGCTGCACAGTTTCTTTGTTTTCTTTTTTTAAAAAAACCTTTTAATGTTGACTAGAGACAAAACAACGTCGAAGGAAACATTATTCAGAGCCTATGCCTTGGTAATTTGTAAAAAGTTCCCTCTGAAGTATAACATCTGCAGCAGGTGTGTTTTCTCATATCAGATGTCGAAGGGAAACCAGACAGAATGAAGTCAGCTGGAGCAGCCTCTCAGGAAGAACTTGTATAGTAAAAGTGAATTATTTACAGCACAAGAATGATTTTTTTATATTTCAGGTTGCCAACAGTTTTTCGGAAAGTTTTTTCTTGTTTTTTTTAAAGCTGTGTGAGGAATAGAAAGGTGAACTTGCATGAACAGGGATAAGTAGCAGAGCCCTCAACGCCCCTGCTTGAAAAATTTGCTAATACTTCTTGTATTTAGACAGAGGTGGTGGTGGTGAATATTGTGTAGAAGCAAACACCAAAACTTTTTCTGTAGAAGCCTCAAATTGTTATTTGTTTGGGGTAAACACTTTTACAATTATGTTGGCAAAGGATTAGAAGGTGAATCTTGCCTTGGCATGGAAAGACCCTGTTTGAATGGAATGCTAAACTATGGCTTATTGCAGAGTGGCTAACCTGTGGCCCTCCAGGTTGCTGCCGGACTCCCAACTGCAATCAGCCCAAGCTGTGAACAGGAATGATGGGAGTTGTAGTCCAGCAACATCTGTGGGGCCACAGCTTAGCCACTTGTCATTCAGAATTACGTGCACAAGTCAGCAGGAGCTTCACTCATAGACTGCTCCTCTTTTCAAGATTGGGCACTTTTGTTTCTGCTTGTTATTACTTTAAAATGTGATTTCTTCAAGCCAGCCGCTAACAAGTTGTTGTTTATGATCCCGACTTGTTCTCAAACTGAAGTTTCAAGTAACCAGAGTTTCCCAGGTTTGGCTGTAACGAGGAACTGTTGTTAGCTTCACAGTGGAAGCGGATACTTCCTGTCTCCCCACCTTCTTGGGAGTGGGGAGGGAAAGCTGTCATGCAAGCCCATGCCTCGTGCATTTAATGCATTTGAACCGAACCATCTGCATTCTTGCTGCTGTTAAAGATGTAGGGGCAGAGCCAGTTTAAAAGTTGCTTTTATTCAGAATGGAAGCAAAGATAAATACAAAACGCAATATATGTGCAGCCTGATTTCATGCAGAGTTAGGTAGGTAAGTCTATAGTTTTCAGTCAACTATTTTTCTCTTCACTCAGGGCTGATTCATGGTCTACATTTCACCTTCCTTGACAATTAACACTAGTATAAGATGCGGAATAGGCTCTCTCTTGTGAACAGCTGGATGCGTTTTTGTTTGATGTCAATTTCACTCCCCCTCACAGGTGTTCATTTTTGGAGAGTGCGTTTCTTTCACTCGAGTCAATCTGAAAGACAAATAATACGAAACTAATAGTGACTTGGTCATGCAAAAATAACGTAGATACATATCTTAGGACAAGGGGATTAGAATCCGCACTGATTGAAAAATAACAGGATAGATAAATTCAGAGCCTGTTCACCATTCAGGTAACCATCTGCGCAGGCAATAGCTACAGGAATTTTTTTACTCTGTAGACCTTTTGTTCATGGATTTTTATGGGACATAAACCCTCGTCCGAAATGCCCCCCCCCTCCCCACTGCCTGCTTCACATTATAATGCTTGCTGGCTCCACCCCTTGACTTCTATATGATTGGTGTGAGGTGTGAACAAGGAGCTTATTTGCATTATACCTGAAGGTCCTGTATACCTGAAGGATTATTCGGTTCAGGTCCTATATACCTGAAGGAGCGTCTCCACCCCCATCATCCAGCCCAGACACTGAGGTCCAGCGCCGAGGGCCTTCTGGCGGTTCCCTCACTGCGAGAAGTGAGGTTACTGGGAACCAGGTAGAGGGCCTTTTCGGTAGTGGTGCCTGCCCTGTGGAATGGCCTCCCAGCAGATGTCAAGGCAATAAACAACTATTTTACTTTTAAAAGACAACTGAAGGCGGCCCTGTTTAGGGACGTTTTTAATTTCTGATGCTGTATTGTTTTTAATAGTCAGTTGGAAGCCGCCCATCTGGCTGGGGAATAAATAATAAATTATTATTATTATTATTATTATTATTATTATTATTATTATACAGCTGTTGTTATTTATTAATTTGATTTATATACTGCCTTTCATCCAAAGATCCTAGGGCGGTGTACAACATTAAGAACACGTTTTACAGAGCATCAAGAATAAAAACCTAATAAAAAAGCATAACAGACAATGTAAATAACAAATTAATCATAACAGTACCCCCCCCCCATTTTTATTTGTCTTCTGCAAGATGCAGAACAAACAGGGAGGGGGCTGGATTCTGCCTTGGAGCAGCCTACTTGGGCTGTGGGCACATTGCTGTCTTAAAAACGCAGGTCGTTGTTCTTTTTCTCCATTTGGATCAAAATCAGTTTGACGGGGGGCGGGTGGTGGTGGTGGAGACAGTTGAAAAGGCAGCATTCACAGGGATAGCGCCAGACTGTGGTTGGCACCCAGTGGGTGCAGAGTAAAGGGGCTCTTGGGAAGGGTCCACAACAACATGGAGCAAATGGGTCAGTGCATCTGGCTGTTAACTGGAAGGTTGGTGCTTCAAGCCCACCCATGGATGGCTGTAGGCAAAAGATTCCTGCATTGCAGGGGGTTGGACTAGTTCAGTGTTTCTCAACCTGTGGTTCCCCAGATGTATGTTGGACTACAACTCCCATCATGCCTAGTCAGCATGACCAGTGGTCAGGGATGATGGGAGTTGTAGTCCAACAACATCTGGGGACCCACAAGTTGAGAACCGAACCTTGGGTACCTTCCAACTCTGCAATCTTATGATTCTATGAAATGCTTTGTTCAAATTCTTTCCCACAGATCTCCATGCTGTGTGTGTAGCAGACCATGTGTGTTCATTATAGTTTGCTTTACACTTTCCATGGTATCAGTTGCCTTGGGTGATGTTAATCGACCAGGCTGGAAAATGCTCAGGGTATTTTGCCTTGCTGATGCTCATCTACACGGAACATAGCACAAGCAAGTGCTGGTCTCTTTCTTCTCCTTTTTGGCTCATTATATGAAAGTGTTTGCACATCTAGCTGCCACCATTTCCTTCTTCCTTATAGGCACATTAAAAGAATAGTAATCCTATGGAAGGACAGGGTAAATTAAGGTTTTGAAATGAAATAATAATAATAATAATAATAATAATAATAATAATAATAATAATAATTTGTTGACTGAAAGGCTGTCACACAGAAGAGGGCAAAGACTTGTTCCCTGCAGCTACAGGGGTCAGGGATAAACCTGATGGCATCAAGTGACTGGAGGATAGATTTCAGTTGAACATTAGAGGAAACCTGTTTCCAATCCAGTGGAACCAATTAACGTCAATGGGTAGTGGTCTCTCCCTCCCTGGAGGCCTTCAGTCAGAGGCCAGACACCCATCTGTTGGGGATACTCTAATATTGGATTTCTAGAAGGTGGAATAATGGCCTTTTCGACCCCTTCTACCTCTGACTCTTTGGCTAAACGTTAACATTTTGTGTAACACAAACATTAATGCATATCACAGCTGGGGTCCCCAATGTGCTCTGCCTCAGACAAACACCTTCTTTGGCATCTACTAAGGCCTCTGTCCCTGACAATTTTATACTGTATATCTCTTTAAAGAGATTGAACGTTTGGGGGCTTATTTGTTTGTGGTGCGTACTACTTTATCATTATGGTTCGTCTTGCGGCGCCACCTAGGTCTTTTGCCTGTTATCTGAGTGGACTACTGAGCTTCGCCCATGTTTCTTCTATGAAATGGGCATTGTGTGACACTCAGAACTGTTTCTTAGATTTCCAAATGTGTCCCGGGCCCAGAAAGATTGGGGGCCCTTGTATTGAACAGTATGATGGCTGCAGGATTGAAAAAAGCCCTGACACAGTGTGTAACTATATGTATATATATAGCACACAACCTCACAATTCTACTGTTCACTGTGCTTGTGCCAAATAAGGAATTCCAAAGAGAAGAAATATAAGAATAAGAGATGCAGGTGGTGACGGATAAAATGACACCTGTGAGAGTGGGGACAGCCAGGAATGGTGGTGGAGACTTAACATGTTTACCCATCACTAAACCAACATGTGGTCTTCTGGCAAAACTGGATACTGACCTGGAAAAGCCTAATAGAATATGAGAATTGGGTGGTGAATAAATTATTTCATGCCTAAGGATTGTGCATCACTTATTAGGGATAAAACATATATTTTTCTGTGTATTTAACTTGATATTATTTTCTTTTTTCTTTTAGGAAAACCCTCCTCCTTTTTTTTGCAACATGTATAGCTGTGGGTGCTACACAAATACAAGAAGAAGGTGAGACATGTTCCTAATTTTATTACAGAATATTTGAATGATCTTTCTTTAAAAAAGAGAGAGAGAAATTATATGAAGGATTCTGGTAGTAATGACGTGAAATTCAGTTTTTCAAAGGCCTCTAATGCCAGATAGTTACAATAGGAGCAAAAGTTTAAAGAAACCAGTTTAGAAAGGCTGACCTTTTCAAAATTACTCAGATTTTCTGTCTGTGAAATTGCTTACATATTTAGGCAGACTCCTTGCAAAAAGGAAGTTTTGTACATTGTAAAGGCTTTGATTGTGACTTCATTGCACGTGGGTGTTTTTGGGGGTGGCAAACCGAAGCCGGATTACCTTTGCACTTCTTGGGACTCTCCAAAACAAACTAGTTCACATAATAAGTACTTAGTCTGAACTTGCATTTTTAAGGCCAAAAAAGTAAACTTGCTTTTTTGGCTTATTCCCTCCACCCACAAATTTTCAGACGCAGCTGTTGGCTAAAAAGCAACTGATTGTGCTTTTGTTGTTGTTTGTGTTTATTCAGAGGACAGATGGCTGGGCACTTGTTCTGGGATGCTAACATCTGAAGTTAGCATCTGTATCTATTTTAGCAGCAGTTAAAACCTGTGCTGGGGTTGTCATCTTTGAAACAAATGAGCTGGTTTGCATGGAACACCAAGCCAAGGATGGGGAACCTGTGACCATCCAGATGTTCATGAATTCCAAATTGCATCAGCCCTAGTCAGCAGGGACAATGGGTTGGAATTATGGGACTTGTAATCTAGCAACCTCTGGAGGACCACAGGTTCCCCAAATCTATACTAAGCCAAGCTGTAATTTCGTTTGAATGTTTGAGTGTGAGACTTCTAGGAATGAGGATTGTGGCTGCTGCATTCCTCCTCTAGTCTAGCTGCAGCTGCAGCTGCCCTGCCATGGTTTGTCTTATCATGTTGTCTGAACCCAGACTTGTGGTTTGTCTCATTCCAGATAAACCACAAGAAGTAATTCATGTTTATCTGGAGGAAACAAACCATAAGCCCAGATTCTGACACCGTAAAGCCAAACCATGGCTTCATTCAACAGCAGGACCCAGAGGAGGAGAAAAGTGGCTGCAATCTCCATTCTCTCAGAGTTTACAAATTTGCAATATCCTAGTTTGACTTAGTGTTTCATCCAAACCAGCTCACTATGAGACTTCTGCTATTTTGTGGTATCTACTCAGGTTATAGTTGCATGAAGAAACATGAAGAATTTTAGAGGTGATTGAGAAAGACTACAGTTCACATGATAAAACTGTTTCTGGCCTTTACCACATTGGTCTTCTAGTACAGTGGTACCTTGGGTTAAGAATTTAATTCGTTCTGGAGGTCCGTTCTTAACCTGAAACTGTTCTTAACCTGAAGACCACTTTAGCTAATGGGGCCTCCTGCTGCTGCCGCATTGCTGTTGCACGATTTCTGTTCTCATCCTGAAGCAAAGTTCTTAACCCGAGGTACTATTTCTGGGTTAGCGGAGTCTGTAACCTGAAGCATCTGTAACCTGAAGCATCTGTAACCCGAGGTACCACTGTAGTTTTGTTGTATGGAGGACAAACATCCTGCTCACTGAAAAGTTTCATGTCAGGGAGACACAACAACTAAGCTAGAACCTTTCTCCCTGACGGTTAGCTTTCTACGTTTAGGAAGTTCCTTTCCCCCAACCATCCTTACTAATCTCATTTCCTTTTGTGTCATAGCTTCTAGATTTTAAACTTGAGGACAGGGACTGTCTTGTTGATACCTTGAAGCTGCTCTGGGAGACCATTCAACTGCAAATTTTGTCATCACTTTTTGCAGCTTGGCAGCTCCAGGTTTTTTAAGTCAGGGCACCTAAGAAAGGCAGTTGTTTTGGATATTCACACTCCAGCAAGCATTGCAAATCAAAAGCTAGCAGATTTAAAAGTTTTAAGTATTGGGAAGTGTGTGCACGTTCGTGTTTATATCTATGTCTATAGCTCAGAGTGACAGAGAATTGGCTCAAGGTACCATCTTAGGGCGATGATGTCACCACCTTCCCATCTCCTGCTTCTTCACAAGACTTACAAAAAGTTTGTGAAACTTTCTGCTCCTGGGAATCTGACCCCTATCAAGATTGATCATTCATTGGCAATATTAGCCAATTAGATCCTGAGCTAGTTTACAGTCATCTGACACACACTGCAAGTAGAGTTTACTGACATAACCCGTGCCTCTTGTCTTTCATTTTTCCGATGTTTTCATGGGAAACACTTAAGTTCTTTATTTTTGTCATATGGCAAAGATATGATGTCATATCTTTTCATCATGCCCTTCCTCCAATGCCCCCTTCCATTTTATCCTCACAATAACCCTGTTGAGGTAGACCAACCTGAGAAATTGTGAGTGGTTCAGGCTCACCTGGTGGGCTTCATGACCTAATAGGTATTTCAACTCACTGACTCTTAAGTTACGTTCTTCTGAAGATTTTACCCATCATATCTGCTGGCAATGGCTGTAGTTCTTATTTGGCCAAGATGCAAAAGGCTGGTTTAGGAACACCAAGGATTTGGGATTATGCAATTTGTTGTTTTTCTAAAATTGAGCAGTAGACTTCTTTGTGTTTCAAAAGTGACTTGCATTGTGGTGATGGTAGGGATGCCATTTAAGAAGCCTAAAGAAACAGTGAAGTAGCTTCATAGTTCTTTGTATTCCTTCCTTCGTGTTCTGCCGCTCTTGAATTTATCACACGCACCTGTGTTGTTCAAAGCATTATTCCTTACCTCAAGCCCTTTAGATGTGATGGGCTGAAAACCTGTTCTGTCATTTGGCATCTGGATTTCTTAGGTTATTTGGAATAGAAAACTTTCAAAATACAGGAAAAACTGGAGACATGTGGCTTCCCTGACTGTGCTTCCTTGACAATGCACGGGGTGTTTGAGGGATAAGATGCAGTCCTGTTACCCTTATCCCCCTATGATTTAGGGGAATGATTAATGGGAGTCTGCAGGCAAGCATAGAAGAAAGTCTCTCCTGGACTTGAAACAAGCCATTTTCAAGATGACAAATCATAAATATATGTTGCAAGGAGATTGCCTATCCTTTGATTTCTTTCTTCTTTTTTTAATTTAGAGAGTAAATGAAATCAGATGCCGACATCTGTGTGCGGGAAGGAATAATTGATCATTAATGGGGGGCGGGAATGGCCGCTGGAATGAGGAGAAAGCAAGTGGATTACATGTGCTCCAAAAGAATGCATTCTGTTAAGTGTCTTTGAACACTGTTATATTTAGAAAGAGCTTTTGAGCAGTGCGGATGACGTGGTTATAGCTTTCCGCACATTTGCCTCAGGCTCAAAGGCCTGCCTGAAGCGGTGTGGGTCATTGCTTTGAGGTGATTGCCCTCACATCCCAAAGCTTGCTTGCACATTCATAGCTGGCCATGTGAATGAATAATCTGCTTTCTGCATTTGGGGGATCGACCCATTGTGCTCTTAATCAGAAATATATACCTGTATATATACAGGGTGTTAGGGGAGGGGTAGTACCTCTGGTGGGGGGCACATCATGCTCCTTCTGGGGTAGTTTGCCCACCTTTGGTCCCCACCCTGCACTCAGCTCCCACCTTTGTTTCAGAGAAACACCTTCCACCTTCAGAGAGGCTTATATCATAATTCTTCAGGAAACCTCTGTTTGCCTCCACTGCTAATCTCACAGTGATGTGAGGTGGAGAAAAATCTGTTTCATAAGTCCATCAGTAACAATGAATAGATGCCACTTGCAAATAAATGCTAGGCTAGCTGGTCAGTTTGATAGTTTTTAGCTTTGTTGACTAAATGCAAGTAAAAATAAACAGGGTAGATCAGGCCATCAGAAATTTTTCCTGTGCAAGTTACCCTAATTTGTATATGAAAATTTTCTGGAAACATTTTCTAGGGGGGAACCCTGTATAAATGTATTCCTGACTGTTTTGAAAATCACACTTTCAGTTTAAAAGTTAAATTTAAGCATATGTAATTGTTTACATTTCATACAGGGACGCGGGTGGCGCTGTGGGTAAAAGCCTCAGCGCCTAGGGCTTGCCGATCGAAAGGTCGGCGGTTCGAATCCCCGCGGCGGGGTGCGCTCCCGCTGCTCGGTCCCAGCGCCTGCCAACCTAGCAGTTCGAAAGCACCCCCGGGTGCAAGTAGATAAATAGGGACTGCTCTGGCGGGAAGGGAAACGGCGTTTCCGTGTGCTGCGCTGGCTTGCCAGATGCAGCTTGTCACGCTGGCCACGTGACCCGGAAGTGTCTCCGGACAGCGCTGGCCCCCGGCCTCTTGAGTGAGATGGGCGCACAACCCTAGAGTCTGTCAAGACTGGCCCGTACGGGCAGGGATACCTTTACCTTTACCTTACCTTAATTGTTTACATAATAATTTTAATTATTTTGTTTATTATGTATTATGTTTTTGGTTTACCTTATTATTATTTTTTGTAAACTGTCCTCTGACTAGTTGTGGTACAGAGTAGTATGAAAAGATCTTAGTAAGTATCTAGTCAATATCTTTATTGGATTTAAAATTGGTTTTTATGTATAGATAAAAATAGATAAAAAGGAAAATGCAGTTGTTTAATATCATGTTGTGAAATCACTTTGAATGTCATAATAAGTGATTCAAAAATGAAATACATAATAAATAAAAATATATGAGGGGGACCTGCAACAAAATGTGGGACACTCTTTCTCATGATGCCAGCCAGCTACTAACCAGCGATGTCCCTTTTTTGTACTTATTTTTGCAAAGTTTGGTCCCCTCATCCCAACACATTTCTCATTCTGTTTAGTCTTGAATCCTGTCAGCACTTACTAGTACAATTTGCTGTTTGGAAGAGGGAGAGATTGATATGTTAAACTTAGCATTTATTAGGGTTACCCACACCCCACAGAGCGGAAAATACCATATTATACTTGGAACAAAACTTCTACTGTGCCCCAGAAAAACCCAATCTATTCTTGATTTGGCCTCTGTAAAACAAAACGAAAACATTTTTTTTAAAAAAAAGTAACAAAAAAATAAATAAATTTGCAGCTAAGCCATGATCATGCATGGAAGATTTTGGCCTTCAACTTATAACATTGATTTCTCACTGTACCATAACCAAGCCTACAATTACTGCAGATTAGACTATAGCTTAAATAAATGAATTGTTTTGCAGCTGGACATCCAAAAGAGTTGGCAGATGTGTAACCCCCCCACTCCCACCCCAAATGATAGGACTTCCTGTGCCTCAGGCCATGTCGGCTGCTTGCCATTTGTAAACTTGGCACCATTGTGCACTCCCTAACATGACTAGAACCACTGCAAGGTGTGTAACTAATTTTCAAGATGTATAGCACAGTCAAACGTATGCATTCTATGCCAATTTTTAAAAACCTTTCCAGAAATGTCTTCAATATTTGTGTGCATATGTGCACATTTTTGCTGGAACCGGAGCCAAGATGTGTCTGCTCTTAACATTTGCTAGCAATATCTTTGGTAAACAGAGGGAAGGCAGGTTGGGAAATGAAACCTAATTTCTTGGTAAAGTCTGTGGAAATCCTTATGTTTCAAGGACTCTCTTGACTTAGCTTTGGCTTCGACTTGCTTTCATGCTGACAGAGACTTGACCGTTCATCAGCACTTTAATCCTGAGGTAACATCCTGCTGTTCTCAGAACTCAAAGAGGAATTGATCATGTAAATACCCTTCCTGCTTAGATACTATGAGATGGCCTAGCAGCTTTTAGGATTAGGCACCAGGTGTATGAGGATGTGATGCCATTTTGGGGACTTAAACACAGAGTTGCTACTCTGCTAACATTAGTCCAAGCAACATTTAATATGTCAGGTCCAATCTAGTTGTGAGAATGGCAGATCCATGTGTCAGAAGCAGGTGGCCATTTCTTTCCTATGAACTAGGTTGGAGATAGAAGATGTCAAGCACAAGATCAGTGAGCAAGAGGTGAGGGAGCTGGATTAGTGTTGGAAGCAATCCTCCCCCCCCCCCGGGCCATCTAGTCCAACCCCCTGCAATGCAGGAATCTCAACTAAAGCATGACAGATGGCCGTTCAACCTCTGCCTAAAAACCTCCAGTGGAGAGTCCCCCAACCTCCCAAGGGCATGTTCCGCTGTCCAGAAGCTCTTATCTGTCAGAAAGTTCTTCCTGGTGTTTAGTCAGAATCTCTTTTCTCCAAAGCAGAAGCAATCAAGTTTGCTCCACCTTCCATGTGACAGCTCTTCAGATATTTGAAGATGGCTATCGTATCACCTCTTAGTTTCCTCTTTGCTAGGCTGTACACCCCAAGATCCTTCAACCATTCTTCCTAAGTCTTGGTTTCCAGACCCTTGATCATCTTGGTTGCCCTCCTCTGTACACGTTCCCCAACCTATGCTTTCTCCCCAAAAATAATTTCTCCCCAGCCATTTTTTCTCCTGAAGTGGCTCTGTGTCCAGAAGGAACCTGCTGGTAGAAAAACAACTGGGGGAAGAAAAGTGTAGATAGGAATGAGTTCAGCAGGTTTTTCTCTCATAACCATAGAACTCATGGGAATCTAAGGAAGCGCAAGGTTGGAAGATTCAGGACAGTCAAAAGCAGGGGTCAGCAAACTTTTTCAGCAGGGGGCCGGTCCACTGTCCCTCAGACCTTGTGGGGGGCCAGACTATATTTTTTGGGGGGAAATGAACAAATTCCTATGCCCCACAAATAACCCAGAGATGGGTTTTAAATAAAAGCACACATTCTACTCATGTAAAAACACCAGGCAGGCCCCACAAATAACCCAGAGATGCATTTAAAATAAAAGGACACATTGTACTCATGTAAAAACACACTGATTTCTGGACCATCTGCGGGCCAGATTTTTTTTTTTAATAAATTTTTTATTAAAGTTTCAAAATTTTTATAATAACAAAACAAAACAATACAGTAATACAAACAAACAAAAGAAAGAATAAAAACAAGTATAATTTCAACCCTTATTTTCATATAACTTACTTCCCTGACTTCCTCATACCTCCCCTTTCTGTATTCCAATTTCTAATTTTTTATTCAGCAAATCCTTTCCCTTGTTTTTCATTTGATTTTTAACCTTTCTTTTCTTTTTAACTTATCCATTACAGCTGGAAACCACATATTTTCTAAACCAACGTCATTCTAACATTCATTAATTTTACAATATTTCTTAAGATAGTCCTTAAATTTCTTCCAATCTTCTTCTGCTGTCTCTCTTCCCTGGTCTCGGATTCTGCCAGTCATCTCTGCCAGTCCCATATAGTCTATCACCTTCATCTGCCATTCTTCCAAGGTGGGTAGGTCTTGTGTCTTCCAATACTTTGCGATAAGTATTCTTGCTGCTGTTGTACTGCGGGCCAGATTTAAAAGGCGACTGGGCCGGATCCAGCCCCCGGGCCTTAGTTTGTCTACCCATGGTCAAAAGGAAGTACTTATTCACACAGTGCTTAGTTGTAGTAAGAAATGGGCTCCTGCTGGGGTCAATTATGACCACCAACTTAGATGGGTTTAAAAGAGGAAAAGATAAATTCTCGGAGGACAAGGTTATCAATAGTTACCCAGACACAATGGCTATACTCTGCCTTCACACTCGGAGACGGTATGCTTCTTAATAGTAGTTGCTGGAAACCACAGGAGGGGGGAGTGCAGTTGTGCTGACATCCTGCTTGTGAGCTCTCCATGGGCATCTGGTTGGCTGCTGTGAGCCCAAGATGCTGGACTAGGTGGGCTACCAGCCTGATCCAGCAAAGCCAGGCATCCCCAAACTCGGCTCTCCAGCTGTTTTTGGACTACAATTCCCATCATCCCTGATCACTGGTCCTGTTAGCTAGGGATGATGGGAGTTGTTGTCCTATAACAGCTGGAGGGCCGAATTTGGGGATGCCTGGTCAAAGCTATTCTTACGTTCGTTTGTTTTTTCTCTCTAGGGTTTAGAATCCAAAATTGCCCCTCATTTTAATATTCACCAAATGCAGGCCTTTCTAGTTATGAAGTCAGATGAAAAATGTTGTCGAAAGAACAACAGAATTCTGACATTTTGAGGGCGGGTTGCCCTGTTTAAAACAAAAACAAAATTGACTTAGATGAAATTTTAATGTATGAAACTAGTTGGGAAGTAGAATTGTTAGCCTTGTGTCAAGGTTATGGTCAACCATGTGGAAATAACATATTGTGGTGGCATCCACAGAACCAGGAGAGATGCCTTCGTTATATGTATGAAATATTGTTATGAAATACTGTTAGGCATACATTATTCATATGAATTCATACCACACCTTCTGCCATTCTCCTATCCTGTGTTTGAGCTGGAAAACCCTCTCTTTGCTACTCACTTGGAACAAATGGTAATTCTGTTTGCTCCAATTCAGCTTTAAAGAGTGGGTTTTTGTGGCGCTTCAGGTGTGGACCATGCGTGGAAAGTGTGGAGGAAAAGAAGGTGTGGATAAGCGCAGAGTTAATATAAAGCATTTGAATAAAATTAATAATGAAGTTGTCTCACCCCTTCCTTTCTCTTTCCTCCCCTAGGCATAGATATTCTTCATCATTTAGGCCTAAGTGGGCAAGCTCTTCATCAACCATCAACAGGGACTGCACAGCCTTTGTCACGTACTTCATTACCTCAGGGGGTTCACCTAAGTGCCTCAGGAGTTGTTTTGTCCACAAATGCAGCCATTGAGGTGCCTGTCTCTCAAGTGATAGCATCACACATAGGCTCCCAGTTCACCCTTTTGGTTAGCTTACGTTCTTACGCAGTAAACAATGCCTTTCTTTTCAGTGTTAGAAATAAAAATAGACTGCAGTTTGGTGTCCAGTTGCTCCAAGGAAGATAATGGTGCATACTGGAGGGAAGCAGTCTGTATATTTTGATTACACTGTTCATGATGAGCAGTGGCACACATTTGCTATTGACGTTACGGAAAAAGCCGTGTCCCTGTATACTCAATGTGGAAGAAAGCACTTCAGCAGGGAGACTATTTCTAAAGTACAGCCGTTGGATTCGCAGAGTTTGTTTACTTTAGGAAGGATGAACTCCCATTCAGTCAACTTTGAAGGAATAATTTGTCAGCTGGACATTATCCCCTCTGCACAAGCCTTGGCAAACTATTGTAAATATGTGAAACAACAGTGTCGTCAAGCTGACACATACCGGTCTCAAACGATTCCTCCAGACACATCCCTTGGGGTGCCACCAAGCAAACAGTTGGATGAAGAAACCCAACCAGTTTCCATGCCATTGAGTACAAGGAAAGGAGAATCAAACCTTCGTCGCAGCAATGGTGCATCAGTCCACATGCCACCAGAACCCCTAGAGACAACCTCTCCCCTGACACCTCGTTTATTAGAAAATGGTACTGCATTGGAAATTATACCGGAACCAGATGACCAGGGAATTGTGAAAGCATCAAAAATTCCTCAGCAAGATGCCAGCAAAAAGAAAGATGGCTTCCAGGCTCTCACAAAATTGCCTCCAAACCTTACAGATAATGCCACGGGTGATACAAGCAGGAAAACCTACCCCGATCTGCTGTTTTCCATAAAGCAGACTAAAACCAAAACTGGCACATCAAAGCAGTATCCATATGAACCCGTGGAGCTGCAGCAAGTTTTAAACACAACATCATATAGAGCTTCTGATTCCACACCTTTCGATAACCAGCTTGGTTCAAGGGACGAAGGGACATTTCCGATTGATGACATTTACAACGCAGAAACCAGTTATGAACTTGATATTGACGGTTACGATTACGACTATGAAGAATTGGAAAGGATGTTTGAACTCGAGAATCTGAGAGGGCCTAAAGGAGACCCCGGGCCGCCGGTAAGTTGTCTTGTTCATGTTCCTTAATAAAATGCAGCAGGAGTTCGCAGGTTATACACCATAGTGACTCAACAAATTGACGCATAGCGACTCAACAAATTGACTCAGGAATTTCCTGTGGTTTCAGTTTGATACTTTAAGCTGGAGGTATAAGAAATAACCTTGAACTTGTGGTCTCTGATAAAAGTAGGGTTTGTTGCTGTGGATGCAGAAAAAACATGTTGAGGCAAAGAACTAAACCGAAGGTTAGAGGAAGAGGCTAGAACCTTTTCTCATTTATGACATTCTACTGTTTGAATGCTAGATGCCTTAAGGTCAATGCCAAATAAGACACTTACTTGGCACTGGGAATCTGCCAACTTAATCTTGATAATGTTGTTTAATCTATAACATGGTTTAATAGGTGGAGAGTACCTGCTCTAAGGGCTGGTTCGTTACCCTCTTAATGAAGTAACACCTATAATGAGGTTACTTCACTCTTCTTTGAGTAGTCTTTTCTTCTTCCAACTGATGAAGTTGCTTCATCCTAATGAAGTTGTCCCATGCAAGGAGGTGCAAGGAGCTATCACTACAGGGAACAAGGGAGGAAAATAGGCAGGGAACCCTTTTTTGTTATTTTCTATGGAAAATGAAAGTGCTGTTGTGAAGGTGAATGTGCTTGCCCAAAGTTAGACGCAAGGTGAGAGCCGAAACAGGGCACAGAGACATGGTTGTCTAATTTACCTGTAGTTGGTGTTGGGAATGAAAGTTATTTTAGGCATAAGGACAATTCAGTACACATGATCCCTCCTTATTGGATCGTTTCTGAGATAGATATGTAACTTCCAGGAGTCTTCTAGGTCATGTATAGGGAGTCTCCCCCCCCCCCGCCGCCCCATGTTGCTGAACTACAGATCTCAGCATCCTATTGGCAATGCTGGCTGGGGCTGGGAGTTGTAGTTTGGTGGGGGCCAAGATATTCTAGGTTTCCAATTCTCTAGTTTTGTGTTCAGGTACTTTGTGCGGCTTTTGAGCCACTTGTCAGAAGTCTGCATTGTTTGATATCAGGACAGTTGCTAAATATATTTAGTTCCATGGCCTATTGGCCTACAATAAATTGCTTCCCATTCTACAATTGCCAATAAATGAGTCCTTCTGTTTTCACTCCTTTTTGCTGATTCATGTGGTTTCTAGACTGCTAACAGTGTATCAACCTTTGACAAACTGGACTCTAGTTTGTGAAAGCTTATGCCAAAATACATTTGTTAGGCTTTAAGTGTTACACAATACACTTTTTGTTGTTGCCAACAATGTAGTCCATCTCTGTTTTACGAAGATACAACTCTGTCACTCCTAAGTCACTGAGTGCTCCTTCCTGTGCACCAGTTTCCTATTAATACCTGTGTCAGAAGAGCACACCTTATAATGTGCAGTGCAAGATGATGTGTGCGTTTATGGTACTGGGAAAAGTACAGAAAGTGGATATCCCCAATGGTTTCCCTGTGTTTTTATGCATGCAGACTGAATAAATTTAAGGGACAGAAGCTGCTTTTCAGTTAAGTCTTTTTAGCATCATATCACTTTACAACCACAGGATGAAATCTCTAATTTGATCCACAGGCAACCAGAAAAGTGACTATTTAAAAGTCAATGTTAAATGAACAGCAGCTATTTAAATAATCATTTTCAGAATGCTTTTGTGATATATTCTACATGTAATTATGTTTTTGTGTTGTTAGAATTTCTCGACAGAATCATTTTAAAGTGTAGCAATGTATCTCTAAATATGAGAGAGAGAGAGATGTGAAGAATGTTTGTTTCAGCTCTAGGGCTTTAGTTTATTCAGGAACACTGAAAACAGAAACATTTTAAGGCAGCTTGCAACTATAGCTTTTGTTTTGTATGTGATGTGCATTTGCTAGAAATCCAGACGACGGAATTCTGCATAGCAGTGTTACTTCTTGCAGCCACGTGCAGAAAGCATCATCAGAGATGTTCGAAAAATTAAAAGCAAACAAACTAATGGAGAAACCAGATGTTTCACTGAGATTTATAGTGTACATAGCAATAGTACGTGATTGCTGGTGGCCAAAAGCGAATTTCAGCTCCCTTGCTGTTCCGCTATTGAGTTAAAGTAGCATAGCTAATTCAGTTCACCTTCCTCCTACTCTGTCAACATCTTTGCCTAAAATCTGTTGCCCGGGCATCCCACTGAGGAAGATTCAAGCTGGCTTTGTAGAGAGACCTGTTACTGGTACATGCATTCTAGCAGAGACCACCAAGGCTGCCGTAGTACCTGAAGCTAGTTGTGCAGACATGTAGCCATGCCAGGAGCAGCAATTGGGGGGTGGGGGGAGTGGGAGAAGGAAGCAGTTTGCCTGGTATTGTTATAGGCTCTTGTCCTCTGCTCTAAACCAAATCACACATGTACTAGAATGCAAGGGATGGAGCCGGAGAGTGGAAGCCCGCTCTCTGCTTCTGAGGGTAGATTCCTGCAGGATCAAGCAGGTGTTTCAACTAGGAGGAATCTGCCCTAGAGCAAGTCAAACCATTTGGTCCATCTAACCCACTACTGATGGGCTTGTTTTGCTGCTGAAACCCTGAACCACCTGGAACCTTGCAGACACCCCTCCCTGGCAATTCATAAGACCTTCTGAGAAGACCCTCTGGTCATTTGACGACCACTGGATTGTCACTTGGTGACAGCACAGAAACGCATCTTCTCAGTGGTAGCATCTCCCTTATGGAGTGCCCTCCCTTGGTTGGCTCCAGCTACCTAATCCTTTTCATTGAAGATGTCAGGGATTTGAACATGGGACCTTATGCAGGCACCGCTGTACTGTTGAGTTGCCACTTGCTCCCCATTCCCAGTTGGGGCCCTTACTCTCTGCTTCATCTTGCAGAGAGCTGCTGCTGCTGCTCAGGGATAGATCTCCACAAGAGTAAGAAGTGACCAAGAGTCATGGGCAGAAAATGGCAATATCCCTCTTAAAGAAGGGACACAAAGACTGATAATGCAGATGTATATGCACAGTTGTTCTTGGGCAGCTTCCAGTCATAGGTCCTTGTTTTGCAGGAGTGGGATTTGGGTCGGGATGAGAGTGGAATGTGATCTTCATTCTGTGGTTCTGTACTAACTTTCACAATTCAGAAATTTGGTTTTTCTTATCCCTTCGGCATCTTTAAAAGGGGGGGGGTAGAGGTTCACAGATTTAAAAGCTGCAAATGGACCTTTTAAGCAGAGGTTGAATAGCCACCTGCCATGTATAATCTAGTTGAGTTTCCTGCATTGCAGGGGTTGGACTAGATGACCCTCGGGATCCCTTCCAACTCAGTTCTGTGATTCTATGATTAAACATTTCACAATCTTAATCTCCATATGGTGGCTTCTAGATGTTTTGGGCTACAACTCTCATCAGTCCCAGCCAGCATGGCCAATAGTTAGGGATGGTGAGAATCACTGCAGTGGTTATTTCCAGCAATGCCTTTTCCTCTTTCAAAGAACACACAGTAAAAATAATCTCATGCAATTCAATGTGTCTAAATGTTGTCAAAATAGGATGTGTTGAGTTACACTTGTCGCCAGAGTTCATTCATTTGTTTGATGTTAGCTTTAACCTGTTTGTTTGTTTGTTTGTTTGTTTGTTTGTTTGTTTGTTTACCTCTAGGGACCCCAAGGTTCTCCAGGGTTACCTGGTCCAGCAGGGAAAAGAGGTCCAAGGGTAAGTAAAGGCTGATCTGTTGTTTCTAAAACATGATCGTTAATGATCAAATGGGACGCTATAACTCTGACTCTTCTCATACGCTCAAAACAAATTAAGTGCAGAAAGCTTTGTTGTTAATTATCATGATATGGCATGTGTTGAAATAAGAAATAGACAAAGCAGTACTTTTTGCTTTGCACTTCCACTGAACGTTGGTTTGCTGCTACACTAATCCTTATGTTTTTCAGTCTTCTCATCGTCTGTGACTCTGCAACCTAAAGGTCATGTTCATTTGGTTGTTGGAATGAAGGGGAGTGGGCTTCCTAGATCACTGCATTCCAGAGCTAGAGAGTAAAAAACAATGAAGGAGGAATTATCCACAGCTGGAGAGAGGAAAAGCTGCCTTAGGAATATATAGTGTACCTTCTTAGCAGGATAATGCAGTCATACTTTGAACGACTGCAAGGAAATTCTACACCTTCTAAATACCCCTTGAAATACCCAGGATTGCACCCTTTCAAAAGAAAAGCCTAAATTCTGTTTCAACGCAGCTCATTTTGCAATTATAGAAATTAAGCAAAGTTGTATTAAAGCACATAATGTGGCTTATCTTACTTAATGCAATATTTGGTAGATTTTGTCTCTGAGAGCTTTGAATATTTGGGCAACTCTTGGGGCAGTGGTCAAATTATTAGAGGAAGTAGGCTTTCCACGGGCATCTGGTTTGCTACTGTGAGAAAAGGATACTGGTTTGGAAGCACCCTCTTATAAACTTATGCTCTTAAGTGGAGAAGGAGGGAATGAGCGCCTAAAATTTGGGGAAAGGAGATCCATTAAATAAGTATCCTGCTTATCCATTAAACATTAATCTTTGATTTGTATCCTTTGCCCAGTTGGGTCAATATGCAGCCACTTTAGTAGTCCAGTCAATGTGGAGATGCCTTTAATTAAAGTTACGTACTGTATTTCTGTCTATTTCTAACCTAAAATAAAACCTCACCGGTTTATGGAATTTCTCACATGAAAATGAAGTTAAAGGACACTTTGATGATTTCACACAAAACAAGACAAGTAAAAAAAATTCTGAAGCATTTGACAGCTGTTTACTTGATCTTGTTTTTTGCCTATTCATGCGTGGCTGTTTTTAACAGTGCAATTCTGAGTATGTTACAAACTCCAAGCTTATTTTATTTTAGAGTAACACTTCCCACTTCTGAAACTGCAAGTTATAGCACTTTATGAATTTTTTTCACCAGTGCCTTTTCTCTTGTACATCCCTGGGTTATCCCTGAAATTTCCTTTAAAAATCCCTAAAATTTACCTGAATATGTCACAAGTGGTGTAACCAACATTTCGACGTTCCAATGGCAAGACCGTTAGTTGCAAATGAGTTGACATATTTAAGAAGTACCTTTCAGCATGTTATAATTATCAAAAACTAACTCATCAAGTAAACAATGGCACTGATGCAGAGATTCCCACGTGTATTGGCAAGCTGCATGTGAAGATCTCCTTGCCAAATGACTGAAGGTGTCAATTTTGGCAGCCCTTATTAACTGCTGTAAGGAGAGGGAAGAGAAAAAAGTTTCCAAGAATGATCAGCAGTATCAGAGTTGGCTGCACTGACTGATTATTTGGGCTGAGCATATGTGGTGCAGAAACGCACATGGCGCAGAACTCCACAGCACTCTCATTGCATTTGGACCCATTCCTAACAGGTGGCCTCTACTATACAAAGGAGCGTGTTTCTGCACATGGATTAATTAATCTTTCTGGATTAGCATAATGATCTGGAATTTGGTGTTGCTGAAATCACTGGGACTTGATTATTTCATCTCATTTTCATCAGTCAAGACTTGCATGAGTGTGTGGAAAGTTACTTGAACTAGCATAAGTGAAACATACCCAGAAATTGAACTGAATATGTTTGAATAGCGTCTGTGTTCAAACGTATATTTATATACATTACAAATAGACTATGGGGTTCTACTTTTCATCCACACACTTCTATTTGGGTAGGAGCAGAACACTTCCTGCTGACCCCTCTCTCTATATTTATATTTTATTTTTACTGGGGGGAAATACACATCATGTTGAACCTCTGATAATTTATCATTCTCTTGCTAATTGTGTTTTAAGTGCACATCTTACATTTAGCATGGTTTTCTCTGAAATGTTAAAAGATATTTTTTGTTAACTTGTGTTGCTTTGTGTTTGACTTTCTTCATTGATGTTTTATTCCGGCTTCTTTCATTTGATGTTTTAATGTAGATTGTAAGCCCCTTTGAGGTCCCCCCCCTAAAAAATATAAAGCGGTATGATAACGATAACGATAATATATCACTATTACTCAGTCCCGGGCAGTGTGGTGGGGCTGTGCCATTCATCTGACCTCTCTCTGACTGAGTTGGTACTACTTGGGCAGAGAAGGGGAGGGGGTGTCTCAGTGCCACTGTGCCAGTAGGAATGGCAGGTTGGCTCCCCGGGCACTTTTACACTTCACTGTTTCCCCCTTTTCTATCCAGCTTTCAGCAGCGACTTAGCAATCCTACCCTCCCACCCGCTACTGCTGCTACTTCATTATCTATTACTTAACGTGGTGGGGGCCAAGCTGAAAGTTAAATAAATCACTAGGATCTTGCTGAGCAGGGTGATGATACAGGGCCACATAAATCAGCCACTTGTGTATTGGAAGAGAATATGTAGAAATAGCTGAGGGTAGACTGAGAAACTGAAACAAGGGCTGAGCAAGAGGTTGGCCCCTCTACTGACTTGACAGTTGAGGGTGCCATAAACATGGCGGCCTCACTTAGGCCCTACTTTGTTAGTCAAGGAGGGCCAATTGTGTGAATGGAATAACCCTTTGCTTTGCTTGTTTTTCTTTTATTTATTGTACAACTCTATTCACCAGTTAAACAAAGAATAGCTAAACAGTGGAAAGCAACAATCTAAAACAAGCAAACAAAGTTCATTGTATAAAAATCCAACCCAATCAGGCAGCGGTAAAGAAATCATATATTCTTGAATCATACTCCAGAGAAGACCTCTGTGGATATGCTGCTATATATATATTTTTTCTCTTCATCTATTTGTATTACTTTAATACATGAAATATTGCAAATATTGAGCGTGTCCATTTTACTATGCTTATCAACCGAGGCCCTGAACCAGTTGCTCGTGTTGCAAGAGGCTCTGTGAATGGTGTATAGAAACAACTATTTCTCAGTGGTAGCTCTCAGGCTTCCCTCTCCAGAGACATTTGCTAGATGTCCTATGTTCTTTCAACGCTTAACTAGTTTTGAGTTGGCATTCAGTCTGAGAGGGGAGAAGGGAGAAACTTTTGATAACTATTCTTTTGCTGCAGTTCACCCGATGTGTTTTATTAGGATTTTTCTTTTTAAATTTTTTATTATTACTGCATTTTTATTTGAGTACGCTTCATTGGCTGGCCTGGGTATTTCAGGTAGAAAGGTAAAGTAGAGGTAGTTGAAATGAACTTTTTTAATTATTGAGAACTGTTTTATTGGGTCTGTTCAATGGAGAAAGGGAGGATAATCATAACCATAATAATCACAGTAATAGCAACTAAATAATATAGGGAATAAGGCAGTTAGCGGGTTATTAACTTGTTTGGGGCTTTTTTGGAGAAACCCCCCATACACTATTGACTATTGAACTAATGATCTTTCAGAACGGCTGTTTGTTATTTTTTACACAAAGCACTCCTTTACTCTTACTATTTTGTGTAACCTTTCCTCTCGCTTTCTGTAGGGTATTCCAGGTCCACACGGGAACCCAGGGCTACCGGGGCTGCCCGGTCCCAAGGTATGCTAACACATAAACAAAACTACTGTGTGAATCCAATGCTCTTCTGATATATCCATGTTTGGAATGGTTAAAACCTGCTTGCACAGAAATTAATGAGAGTCATGTATTTGGTTTATAAATGAAGTCCTGACTATAAATGGTTCTCAGCAAATATAGCTAGCAAACAGAAGTGCAATAATAATAATAATAATAATAATAATAATAATAATAATTTAGTATTTATATCCCGACCATCTGGCTGAGTTACCCTCTGGGCGGCTCCCAATCAAGTGTTAAAAACAATACAGCGTTAAATATTAAAAACTTCCCTGAACAAGTGCAAGACTGAGCGCAAACAGACAGTACTGTAGAATTCAAAAAAAATGCCCAAAGAATTAAATATTGATATGGATTTTGCTCCTTTAAGTCATCATTAATTTTTGTAAGAGAGAACCGTTTCAGATGGAAAACGTCACCAAACTGCGTCAAAGGTTCAGTGGTGGTTAAACTGGAAAGACAGTGTTAAGCTTTGATAGATTAAGGCCTAGTAAGCGACTCCGAACTCAAACCAGAGGAGCGCAAGCTATGTAAATAGTTTTGGACAGATTTGTGCCGTTGTGGAATGCCTTCAGCTCATATTTAGTTATAACAGTTTGATAGATACGTTGGAGGGGGTGGGGGGGGGACGCAGCCACAACCATGATTTCTTTTAGTGTGATTCCTCATGGCAGGAATCTGACCTGTAGTGACAGGTGTTAAAAATTGCCCCGGGCCAAGAAAATATATCAAATAAGGCTCTCACAGTTTGACATTGTAAAACAAAGTAGCCCATGATTGTTGGGGCGCCCTCTTATTAGCATCTGGTGTTTTAAGAGCAGGTAAGTGGAATATGCAAAGTTCACTAGTTCTATCTGTGTGGGTTTTACGGTGAGTTAAAATATAGACAGACCAATTGGAAGCCGTTGCAAGCTGCTTGTTGGACATATCCTATGACGTTCTTTTTCAGTCACTCGTATTTTGAGGTGAAATGTTGGCTTCACCAAAACCAGTGTTTAAGGCTCTGTTGGTTCTAACATTACCGGGTGTTTGTTGTTATTTTTTGTACTTAATTAGTTCAGAAAGCAAGAATTGCTTTGTACTTGCTCCATGGGGTTTTTTTTTTGTCTTTTGTAATCCCAATTCCTGCTGAATTCTTAGTCCAAGGGTAGTTATTTATTAACCAGCCACACATCAATTATTTAACACATCAATATTCAGTGGCTATATATTTTATATGCATGGCAAATCTTTCGATAAGGGTCAGTATACAAATCTAATAAATAAATAAATAATGGCAAAATAGCAGCTGGGTGGTAGATTACATGGATGATACATTAGCAAAGTATTGGAAGAAGAACCTACACACTGGGCCTTTCTGCACTTACCAATATTAAATATTATAATAATTTATAATGGTATAGTTGCTGGTTGTTGATTTTGGGGAGTTTATTGGCATGGTGCCACACAACATCATCATCATTCCGCTTCTATTAATGTGCTAAAAAAAACCAACCACCCCTGTTTTTTCTTCTACTGCAAAAAACCCAACATTTGTGAAAGCTCAATATTTTCATTTAATTTGTACAAGCATCGCCCCCCCCCCCCTGTGTGAAGGCTATGAGAGGTGATAGCTATTGTTTTAGAGACATCTGTTTAATGCCACTTCGCTTTGAGTGGAGCAAGCTGTTAGTTTGCAAGCTATTTAGTTCAGAGAAGAGATACAGCAAATAGTGAATGGAGTTCAGAGACTAGCTGTTGCTCAGGCAGACACACATAGTTCCTCTCATCTGAACAAACCATTCTAGGGCAAACTAAATGTACAAAGAGCCAAGTCCCACTACCTTCCATTTCATTGCTGCCCCCTGTTTATTGACAGCTGACTGAGGTTAAAACTTTCAGGGGTTACTTAGGTCATTTGCTATCATGCGTGTAAGATTATGGTACATTGTATAGTTTTATTTTTGGTCTTATTTCTGGTCTGTTGCCTAAAATAAATAAACTGGTTAATGCGAGGTTGAAACCTGGATGTTGGCACTTTGCCTGCTGTAGGAGGGAGCAGGAAGCAAGTTGTGATGTTCCTTCTCATCCTTTACTGTTTTTTTTGATTGACATTATTACTATATCCTTCAGGGGTTTTTTCCCCCTCTTTAGTACTGACAAAATCCATCAGCTGCCTTTTTTCAGGATTTGGACGTATACAAAACAGAACATGTCATGGCATATATATTATTAGAATGCAAAACAAAGCAACTTATAATCCTCCTTCTATGACCCAAACCCAGGAAATAACAGAAGAGGAAAAAGTGAAGAATGGTGATTGAGTTAGTTAGTGAATGAGAGAAGGAATGGGGAAAAAACACCAGAGACATCCAGAATAGGCAGTGCTTTTTTGTGACACTAGTCACTGTCAGCACCTCTAGTTTGGTTGCCCATGGCAGCCATTTTGTGCTGGCACCCACAGCACTTCTATCAATATATGAGTAGTGGTACCTTAAAAAAAATTTAAAATTCCCCAATGAGAATTAGAATTCGGACCAAACACCATTGAATGTAGTGCAGGCATTGTGCCTGTTGTTTATCAGATGTTGCTTCTGCCTGGTAACTGCTGACTGTATCACCAAAACTCACATTGAGGAAGTTGTAGCTCCATGGAGAGCTAGTGTTGCCTCAGTGCCAGTTGCTGCTCAAATTACTGCTAATAATTTGTAGGTCTTGACATACTGATTCAGGGTGCTGAACGCTTTTTAATCACCCCTGTTCTTCCAATTGTAATAATATGTAGAGACTTAATGGTGTAGTCTTATTCAGATTTACTTATTGTGTTCAATGGGGCAACTGTGTTTGGGATTGCAGCCACAGAACCATTTTGCATGCTGTTTTACCATGTTGCCTATTCAACAACTATGACAAAATGTGTGTTTCAGATAATTTCTGGCACTATATTGGTTAAGTTTAAACTAGTTTGCAGAGGCCAGAAATATATACAGTGGTGCCCCGCAAGACGAACGCCTCGCAAGACGGAAAACCCGCTAGACGAAAGGGTTTTCCGTCGCGGAGGCGCTTCGCAAAACGAATTTCCCTATGGGGTTGCTTCGCAAGACGAAAAAATCTTGCGCGTCCCCGCGGGTTTTTTTCGCTCCCCCCCCTTTTCCTAAGCTGCTAAGTCGCCTATCAGCTGTTCCGCTGATAACCCGCTTAACAGCTGATCGCGAAAAGCCGCTAGACAGCTGTAGCGCTAATCCGCTAAGCTGTCAATGGGGTTGCTTCGCAAGACGAAAAAACCGCTAGACGAAGAGAATCGCGGAGCGGATTCTTTTCGTCTTGTGAGGCACCACTGTACTTTGCTGCATTCTTGTAGATGTGAAACCCAAGTCATCCATTTAAAAAACAACTCCAGAGGTTCTGACATGGTAAATGCATGTGTAAAACCATTGTTGTATGGCATTAATTTTGGGACACAATGGCCTGCTTATTTAGTTGATTTCCATTATACCATTTTTAAAAAAACAAATATAATTTTATTAATCTAGATTTTCAAGGTATCTTACAAAAGAGAACCATGAAACAAATATAAAACAGATCAAAAACATCAGAAACAAAAACTATTGTAGTAACAGTAAACATACAAAAAAGTAAATATAAAATCAGTTAAAATCCTGGGCACGTTTTAGACATTATACCATGTTGAAGCAAATTACAGTGGTACCTCGGGTTACATACGCTTCAGCTTACAGACTCTACTAACCCAGAAATATTACCTCGGGTTAAAAACTTTGCTTCAGGATGAGAACAGAAATCCTCCTCTGGTGGGGCGGCGGCAGCAGGAGGCCCCATTAGCTAAAGTGGTGCTTCAGGTTAAGAACAGTTTCAGGTTAAGAACGGACCTCTGGAACGAATTAAGTACTTAACCCGAGGTACCACTGTATCCGTATCTCCTAAGTAATGATAGCTGTCATATGTTGTTGTTTTCAACTCTTTATTTAATTTCTCAACCACAGGGTCCCAAAGGTGATCCAGGATTCTCCCCAGGACAAGCAAAACGTGGGGAAAAGGTAACTAGTTTAATTTTTTGAGAGCCATCTCCACAAATGTTTGAAATCTTGCCGATATTCTTGTACTCATGACATAAAATTTAAGTCTCTCCTGAATGTTTTCAGTAATAAACTACAGGTAGCTTGTTTATACTGGGGGATTTGCAGATTGGAGGAAAACATTTATATTTTATTGTTAGATACAAATCAGAACTAGTGCGAAAGTCAGAGTTGTGTTAAAGCAGACATCAAAAGCAAGTGTGGACATACCCTTTCTTGCCTTGAAGCTCCATCTGAATCTGTATCTGGAAAACCTAATAACCCTAGCTACATTGTTCAGAAAATGGTGCTAGATCAACACAAATCTCGTTTCAATATGTTCAACGGTGCTCGTGTAAATCAGAGTTCTGGGAAAATAAGGTAGGATGGTGGGCAACCTAGCTAAGTCACAGAATGCTCCAGGTTCAATTGGTAGTCTCTTGCTTGAAAAAGTATCCAGGTAGCAATAGAAAAGAATTTTTCCTCACTGGGAATGCCAAGGATTGAACCCTGAACCTTCTGCATGCAAGGCATGTACTGTGCCATGGAGATATGGCTCCTGTATTGTCTTTTGGAGATATTGCTGATGATTTACTCCGGTTCTGTGCATTCTGAATGGTGTTGTGTGGGTTTGCTTGTGTTGAACAGGCTGGGGAGGTGGGAGACTCCTGTGGTGACTCATTGGCTCTATCTTTAGGGAGGGGAACATAGTGGCCTTTATCATGTCTTCCAGCCTTAGACATGCCATGATTTCATCCCTCCCCAATATTGTGACAGGTTACAATAATTGTTTGAATTCTGAAATTACAGGGCGATACAGGACTAATAGGCTTGCCAGGCCTTGTAGGCATCAAAGGTGAAAAGGTAAGGTGTTTTGTTATTATTATGATTATTATTATTAACTTTCAGTGCTATTACTGGAAGTCTACAAACAGAGAATGCTCGAGGCTTATGTACACACAGAGTTTCAGTGTGTGGAAGGGTTTCCTTACAGACTGGTGCAAAGCTGCCCATGAATAAGATTGCTAGTGAGCAAACAGAGCTTTGGATCAGAGCTCTGGTTACAGGTAGGTCTGCCATAGCTGAAGCAAAATTTTAAAATTCCTTCCAGTAGCACCTTAGAGATCAGCTAAGTTTGTTATTGATGTGTATCTGAAGAAGTGTGCATGCACACGAAAGCTCATACCAATAACTAACTTAGTTGGTCTCTAAGGTGCTACTGGAAGGAATTTTAAAATTTTGGATCAGAGCGTAATTGTTCAGTGACGATTGTGGCTCTCAAGTCTTGATCGATATCTTTTTCCAGAAGCCTTTTAAAAAATAATTTGCCACAAAACCCAATCTACAGAAATGTCAGTTTTTTGAATGCGCCAACTTCGGAAAACGTGAGATTGTGGGAATTCAACAAGTGGAATTTTGTTCCAATATTTGATTTTGCGGGGATCTAATGTCCCTTCTGTGACTGATTGCCATGGGATCCTCAAGCTTGTTCTGTTTTAGCTTTTGTCACAGAGGTTAGGTAAATGAACACTTATGGAAGGCAGTTTCTCCACTGTACGCGGCAGCATACAAGAAATGGAATTGCAGTTGTTTTAATTTCTCGGCACTGAAATTTAGTGCTATAGTCATTCACTTCGTGCCACAGTTGACATGCTTTCTAGGCTGGCAGTGTAGAGATCTTTGCCACATCTATGTGCTAATTTAGCAAATGATATCCATTAACCTTAGGGACGTGGGTGGCGCTGTGGGTAAAAGCCTCAGCGCCTAGGGCTTGCCGATCGAAAGGTCGGCGGTTCAAATCCCCGCGGTGGGGTGCGCTCCCGTTGCTCAGTCCCAGCGCCTGCCAACCTAGCAGTTCGAAAGCACCCCCAGGTGCAAGTAGATAATTAGGGACCGCTTACTGGCGGGAAGGTAAACGGCGTTTCCGTGTGCTGCGCTGGCCACGTGACCTGGAAGTGTCTCCGGACAGCGCTGGCCCCTGGCCTCTTAAGTGAGATGGGCGCACAACCCCAAAGTCTGTCAAGACTGGCCCGTACGGGCAGGGGTACCTTTACCTTTATCCATTAACCTTGCTATGAGGAGCTGCTTGTAAAAAGTGAAGCATTTTGAACTGAACAAAACTACAGTTCTGTCCTTTCCCATTTCCTCTACCATCTGAGTAGAAAATAGCAGGGCCGCCTGTAGATTTACTGGAAGTACGTGCTGCAGTGGTCCTTTAAAAGTTCCAATGTAAGTTATGTTCTAAAACCACAGGGGTGATGCATGTTTATCCATCGAAATAGCTTTCATACATCACAAGAACCAAAATCTTTTAAATGTGCTTTTATTCACTTTACCATAGAGTTTGAGCAGTAATTTCTGTAGTAAAATTCTTTCATGGTGCCTTGGCTACTGTAGAAAAAAATTATGAAGTTCAAATTTGAGGGGTGATGGGAAGATGAGGAAAAAGTTATTGGCTAAACCAAGCATGTCCAAAATCCGTTTCAGGGGCCAAATCTGACTGGATTTATCCGGGTCTTCTGGCAGTTTATTTATTAGTGTCAAATCCTAAAAAAGCTCAACAACTTTGGTCGGCCCTCACACATGTTCACTTCTGGCCCTTTTTGAAAAATGTTTGGCCACCCCTGGGCTAAACAATAATAACGTGTCGAACAAGGAAATATGTTCTTATTGTTAGGCTTAATGAATCCAATTAAAACATGTTGGTGACCATGCTTTTGTCTCAAGATCTGTTAGTCTGCTTTTTATTTTGAGACATAATTTCAAAACTTCCTCACTTCCAAAAAGGACGCATGCAGATTATCCCAAAATGGTGTGCGCTCTTTAAGTGATCTTAAAGAGAAATTTTATATCATCTCTGCCAGATTGAGGTACAGGCTGCAATAGTCACAAATGTGATTTTATGTGAACACTTCTCTATAGTGTCGTCCTATCCTTCAGTCAGTTTCAGAACCTAAAAATGTACTCCACATGGATAGATTTTTTTTCCTTGAAAATCCTAACATGCCCATTTCTAGTTGCAAATGGAAAATGTGGATGAGCTGTTGATGACATGTTGATGAAATGTATATACATAAATAGCGTTCATTTTCCATTCAGAGTAATGCAAGAAAACACACACAGACAAAAGTATCCTTCAATGCTTCTTTATATTGCTTAAGCCAATACATCTGGTCTATATTTTGGCAAAAACTGACCTACTTTTTCATGATTACAGCTGCAGTAAACTATGAAATTAATTAACCATGTTGCAATTAGTTTATTTTAAAGACATAATGCAAATTGATATGATCATATTTGTCAGCACATGCTCCTTTCTTTGCTGACCAAAATAGTTCTCTTAAAGAACCTAAAGTAAATTTAAAATCTGCCTCCTCAAAGCAGCTTTCCCTTGCCTCTCCAAAAGCTAGCCGTGAGAGTCATAGAGGAGACGTTCCCAGAGAGGAATTCAATGCTGCCTTAAGGGCTGCAGCTGAAGTTCTACAGTATATGTGGAAGGCATGCATTTGGGGTTCTTTGGATGTAATTTGGGTGCACTTTTCCTCATGCTGGATGTGAAGTCTGGACTCTATAGACAAAGTTGGGCTGGTTTGACTGTAAAAAGCATCTGAATCAATTTTTTGGAAGCAGCAATTCAAACGTACTGCTCCTCACTGTTGCTTCTAGAATCTATTCCAGACACAGAACAAATATAATATGCTTAATTAAGCAGAACTGTAAGCAAGAGATGAGTTAGCAACTTGAAATATTACAAGACGGAAGCTTAATGTGCAATTGTTACATGGTGGGGGAAATGTTCAATTTGCACATTATCTTGTAAGTAAAACGTTTTAATGTAATTTAGATTTTTTTTTTTTACATAAAATAATCATGAAATAGAAATAAAATGTTCACGATCAGTTGTATGCATAGAGGTGTTTCATTATGTGTGTCTTTTTAAAGTTCAGAAAATTACGGCCCAGATTATCTAGTTTCAGGGTCACTTCTGTGCCTGAATAGAATAGAAAAGTTCAGCGGATGTGCAAAATATACCTCATTTTACGTAATCCGCTTTGCAGTTCACACTTATTTGCATGTCCTTGGGGGGACTCCAATGAGAAGGAGCTGAAACCTAGCCCACTCACTTTTTTTTTTAACCTATTGCGCTAAAAAAGAAACTAGCCTTTTTTATAGTGTGGCTGGCTTCATGTGTCCTCACTTCATGTGTGTGTGTAAGGACTGGTTGTTAGTACCTGGAATCCTTGGGTGTCTGTCAAGGCACCAGTACCCTGGCAGGTCCCACTCCTGATGCCTGCCATGGGCCCCTTGCTACATTTTTTCAAGGAGCACTGGGCAGCTGCCATTTTGATTTTCCACAGTGTCTCCCAATGTAGCATGTAGCTCCAGGGCATCATGAGACATGAAAGTGGCCCAGCCCCAGCGAGATGGTGCTGTTTCTGCTGCCTACCAGTGCTGCCAGGTATGCTTGCTAGGGTCACCAGTAGAGGGGAAAGGGGTACATCCAACAGCCATTTTGCCCACCATCCCAAAGCTACCCGTGTGTGCGCGTGCACATGTGTGCGCGCATAACACAAGGTAATTTTTCTACCCATGGTTTGAAAGGTGCATATAAACAGAATGCCAAGGATTTTGTGCTTTTTTGGGTACAACTGCCGCAACATACCTTGGGCTCTTTTGTATGGAAGAAGAGGGAAATTGGTGAGATGAGCAGGTGGACCCTACAATGGAATGAATTCCTCGCCTCTTATAAGAATAGAAATAGCAAAGTATTGATCAGAGTGTAATTTTGTTTTTTTTGGTGATCATAAACTTTCTCAACTCGCATTATTTTCCCAAAGCCAGACAGTAAAATTTACAGGTTTAGTTCACTTTCTTAAACAGCAGTAATTCTCTATAATACAGTTTAGGACAATGCTATTTAAGTAGTGAGACAACAGCTTGCTTAAGCTGGCTTGTTGAATATTCCAAATTTATCGGAATATTGATGTTTTCTTTTATGTGTGTAAAATTATCTTAATTAATCTTTTTTCCTAGATAGCTTCTTGGAGCTGTCTGTGAAAAACTTCTTTATAGCTACCTCACAGTATTACTCAGAGTGTTGCAAAAAGGATTTGGAATGGGGGGAAACTGCCTGGACCGGATCCAGCATTCAGTAATTACAAGCAGATTGCTCCTGGAGGTCTTTTTCATCTACGTGTTACTTAATGCAAACCTCTGCTTGATTTCAGGTTGGCATATCAAGAAGTTGATAAAGAGTATGGAGATAGAAGTGTCTCCCCATTTCTCACCAGTTGACTTGTCTTTTCAGACGCCAGCTGTTAAAACTAAGCTATATTGATATCAGATGAAAATAGGCTTGGCAAAATTTTCTTTGCTTAAGGGTGCGGAGGAGAGGGGGAAGCAGAGTGCCGATACCTGATGTGTGTGTATGATCATTTCAGCATTCATTGAAACATTTATCTTTCATACCTGTAGGGTCCCATGGGGTATCCAGGACCACCGGGGCCACTTGGGGAGCAAGTAAGTAGTCCAGTCACAATCTGATGCATCTCTTATAATGCATCTCTCATTTAATAAGCACTTTGTGCCAGAGTTTGGGAAAGTGAGGCTGATACCATAGGCAATTTTTGGAGGAACCAAAGTTCAGTGGTAGAACATCCTTTGCATGAGTAAGGGACTAGTTTCAATCTCTGGCAATGCCAGCTAGAAGGATTTCAGAAAAATGGGACTGGGGAAGATTCTGGCATCTGAGCACCACTGCTAGTCATAGTAGATAATTTTGAGCTAGTTGGACCAACCTTCAGATACTTCAGAGATATTTTAGGAATACATGATGTAGCACAGTGGTGGCCAAACTTGGCCCTCCAGCTCTTTTTGGACTACAACTCCTATCATCCCTAGCTAACAGGACCAGTGGTCAGGGATGATGGGAACTGTAGTCCCAAAACAGCTGGAGGGCCAAGTTTGGCCACCATTGATGTAGCAGATGATGTATTGTTGGGTGGTAACTGGAATACCATGAAATGCCACTCAATGTGAAAGGCTGTACCGGTGAAGAGTAAGGCCTTACTTGGATTGGAGACAGGAATTAGTTATGGTGTTGTTTATTTGTTGCTGTTTTGTGTTGTTTATTTGTTGCTGTTTTGTCCTCAATTGGGGGGGTGGGGAACATTTTTTTTGGCTGTCAGGCCAAATCGGACAGTTGGGCAGGGCTGCCCACCTGTCACATATCTGATGTGACTGGGTGCTTTGAAATCCCAAATTTGGGATGTGCACTCAGTCCATCAGGTTTTGTCTCTGCTGCCCATCAGATGGTTTCCCTAGCCACTGCTCCATTGGGAGCACACTTTAAGCCTCCCAAGTTTGCCTTGTCAGACATGCCTCTTCCTGTGCCAGATCTGATGTCATGTACGATGGCAAATGTGGTTAGTTGGGGAAGAGCCGCCTGGTGGGCCAAGTTTGCATGCGGACCAGAGATTAATTAGCCCTGCCCTGGATGGAGGTGGCGAATGAGCTGGTTGTAAATTATGCTTAATTCTGCCAGGGTGGGCTATTATTATTATTTGTAGACCAGACATTCTTTTTGCAACAAATGGTTGCCTGAGAATCAGCTGTGTTATCTGTATGAGAATAAGGTTCATATGTGGAAAATTGGTAAGGATGTATCTGGGAAACGTCAGTGTGTCTGAAACAGGTGAGATCACCTGCAACTATTACATATTACCTAGGTTCCCTTCGCAGTGCTAGACTGGATGCAGGGAGCATCTATCTAGCAGGCAGCTTCTATCCCCAGTTAGTCAAGTTAGAATATTTTCCTGTCTATAAGCATTTTATAATCTTCTGAAACAGCATTTTCATCAGCGGCAGACAGTGTGATGTGGCTGCATCACTCACATGATCTCTGTTCAGCTGAGTCACTGCAGTATAGCAGGAAAAAGGAAAGGGCCTCAGCAAAGTCAGCAAACTATTATGGTGTAATCGCTGTGTGTCTCCCGCTCTTGGTCCCAGGATGCTGCAGTGACTCACCTGGATGCAGGCCAGGTGAATGGTGCAGCCAAGCCATGTTGCGCCCCCCCCGGCCGATTTTCATTTATTCCAAATTTATATAATCTGCACCCTGTGTATTTTAGAATGATTTGAAAAAATGCAGACTGTGAACTGTGACGGGCGGTGGTGGTACTTTTGCCAGAATTTATTGCAGGTTCATTTCCCTACTTCCCTGACATCCTTGTCCGCTTAGCTGCTCCCATGCAGAAATCTTCTCAGATCACCTCAAATCCTACCACCTAGTGGGGTTTTGAGCCGCAAAACAGCCATTTAACTTGGCTTCTGAACTATTGCACCGGGGTACCTGACAGCAGACAGCGTTGAGTAAATACTTATGTAGATATTGAAAACCTTCTCAAATGGTTCCCCCCCACCCCAGTGTAAATAGCAATCGTATGACCAAGCTCAGGCTCAGTTTCTGTAATCTGCATTATAAATCACTGTCCCCCGAGGAAATCTTCCATGTTTCACTTTTTCCGAAAAGTGGTCTAACAGTTTCCCTCATGAATCAGCCTGTGTCTCGCATTTCACCACTGAATGTCACGGCCCTCCTCTTCCACCCACTAACTGTTGAGATACATGTTCCATTGCTTGGTTGAGTTATCATGTTGATGCACAGGATTGACATTTTCTGTAAGTTACGTGAAAGGCAGTCTTGAATTGAACTTTTAGGCCTTACCTACAAGTGAGAAAATGCATTAATTCTTCTTTCCCCCACCCCTTTTCTTCAATTCAGGGAATTCTAGGAATGGCTGGCAACCCTGGGGCTCCAGGTTACCCTGGCAGGCAGGTGCAGTAACTATACTTCAAACCTAAACTATCACATTATTTTTTTACTACATACCCAAATAATCAGATTTTCTTCTTTTGTTAAAAAAATAATAAATACAGTCGCGAATACAATCCCACAATAATTTGTCTATTGCTCTATTCTGTTTAAGTTTGTTGGTTTCTTTGCACAGTTTATTCACAGAGCAGTTATAAAAGAATGGACGGTGGTTGCGGCCCATCACCCCCTAGCTCCCTGGGGTGAAAAACTCCCAACATGGCGGCCAGCTGTTGGGGAATTTTCCTGGCTGTCTGCAAGGGATTGTGGGAAATCCTGCCCCTCTCGAATTTAAACTGCCCAATTATGGGCAGGTATGTGTGTGTGTGTGGAGTCTGGGCGGTAGACTCGACTGGAGAAGTCTTTGTTCTGGTTTGCCACCTAGAGATATAAGCCGTCTGCACCTGAGTATGGTCTAAGTTTGTTCCATAAGTGGAGATTAAAGGCAACATGCAATATAGGAATTAAGACCCCACCAAAGTATGACTGGTGTGTCATTTGTTCACTATGATGGCAGGGACACGTCATGGTAAAATCACAGTTAATGGTTTAATCATGCACAAGGTGATTGCACTCGCTTTCAGTTAGTCCAGCTTGCCCCTGGTAGAAACAAACCATGATCCCAGGATTAGCAATATGCCCAAACCAGGGATCACAAGACACAGTCAATTAACCAATAACAAATCTTGGCATATCACCATGTTTTGTAAGGAGCAAAACAAACTATGATTCTGACTTTGGTGTATTGCAAAGATATTTGAAAGAGATGTTATACTAGGTAAAGTGCATATTGAAGAGATGTGGAATTTTGTGTCAGGATATAGTGTGTGCATTTGTCCTTACGCATCTAGAAGTTTTGTGTTCTGGTAAAGTTTATTGATATAAATTAGGCTGGTCACTCTGTTTTTTGTTTTAATCTTTTGGTTTGTCCTATGCAACATTTGTCTTAAAACCTCTATGCATAAAGAGATACGTAGATGATAGGTTTTGATATATTTCCCCCATTGGAGCAACAACCATGTTAATATTTGTTTCCTGCTTTTGTTTATAGCTCTTTCCCATGTTCCTTTTATGTTTTTGTTTCTGTGTTATTCTGAGACACACCTGTCTTCCATCAGAAATGTTAGAAACCAAATAACCAGCTCAGTAGACACTCTGAAGTTACAAAAACTCCTTCTCCCCCACTTTCCCCAACATCTGTCTTGATTCTTGTGGAGGAATAATTATGTGATAAGCCACTTTAGGACAGTAAGAAGCACCTGCTGGTTTTCAACCCCAGTTCTGATGGGAGTATATTTATCAGCACCAGAGTCTATCCAGAATCTGAATCTGGGAGTATGATATTAACAGCTGCCACTAGCGTAGTTTTATTTATATAAAAGCAAAGAGGCAAAACTTGAGTCAGATTCTCAATTCTGGCCAAGCTGAAAGCCTGAAACAAGCATGAATCAAAAACATTTTTGTTAGGTTCTGTGCCACCCCTGTCAACTTCTTCCCCCAGGCTCTGTGGGTTTAATTCCAAGAAAGCATAAAAGCCTATTTTTAAACTGTAAGGGAGTCTTGGTTCTCACTGACTGAATCTTCTCTCAAAAAGGAGTTTCATGATTAAAAGAGAGCAAAAGACATTACATGGCAAGAACATCTGGCAAAATAACGGCTTACTTGTTTAAGCTGGCCTGTTGCGCTGCCGACTTAAAACTGGCTCCAGGCCTTCTTTGGCAAACCCAGTTACTATGTGTACACTGAAGGTGCACCAAATATGTAACATGTGCAGAAAATAAGTGCCCTGTGGATGACATACCCAAATCCTTAAGCACATCTGAGAATACTGACGTTCCAAGCCCATGAACACCCTTTGTAAAACACGAGATTAAGGCATCGATAGTGTCGGTGTTCCCTGTGGGAAACACCAGTTGTGTTTGTCATGCGAAGTGCCCAGATTGGAGAAAATAAGCAAAGTAGTTACACCATACAGTTATATTATCTGTCTTCAGTTCAAGCCATGGTCCAAAATATCCAAGATGGATGCTTCCGCATTACATTTTCCACAACTCTTTGCTTGGGGCCAGTTCCTATAAAGACAGACAGGTCCTGCCGATTCTTAAAACCTAAACCACCTCAGCAACCAGATCAGTCCTCCACACGCCACTGCTATTGGCCAGCTGAAATCCAGTGACTCGTTATCAGGCGTTAGAGCCGGCTAACCATGCATCCTCCATGTTGTTAACATCTTAATTACAGGTGTCAACAGGAAGAACCAAGATTGGGGCTGTACTTTTCAGAAGCACAGCCATTAACTGCAAAGGAAGCTGAAGTAAATGAATAATATGATAGAGCATATCAGCTGCAACTGTCTTTGCAGGCTCATGGGGTGTGTGCAGGAAGTAGATCTGGGATCTGGATCCACTTGTAGATCTCTGGGTAGTTTTCAATGAATCCACAAAGCTCTCTGACTTCCAATAAGAAAAAGGCCTTCCTTGCCAAAAAATAATTAAAAAATGAATAAGAGACTGCTGAGATGAAGAAAGCTTTGGGGGATGGTGTGGTTCAGGACTGGGTTTTTGTGTGAACTTTGTTCTGGTATCGAAAACAAATTCCTAGGCTGAGTGTATGCTCAACTGTTAAATGGGCCCACCCTCTTGAGTCGCTACTTTGCTCCTGGTTTCTTTTGGTGAATCTCAGAATTCGATCAGAAAACAAAAGTTCACCCAACAAGCTTGAATTCTGTCCACCTAAGAAAGCGTTGGGATGTGGGTGGCGCTGTGGGTTAAACCACAGAGCCTAGGACTTGCTGATCAGAAGGTTGGCGGTTCGAATCCCCAAGACGGGGTCAGCTCCCGTTGCTGGGTCCCTGCTCCTGCCAACCTAGCAGTTCGAAAGCACGTCAAAGTGCAAGTAGATAAATAGGTACCGCTCCGGCGGGAAGGTAAACGGCGTTTCCATGCGCTGCTCTGGTTCGCCAGAAGTGGCTTTGTCATGCTGGCCACATGACCCAGAAGCTGTACGCTGGCTTCCTCAGCCAATAAAGCGAGATGAGCACCGCAACCCCAGAGTCGGCCACGACTGGACCTACTGGTCAGGGGTCCCTTTACCTTTAAGAAGGTGTTATGTATTTTTAAAGTGTTGGTCATTCAGGTCAAGAAGGTTAAATATTAATCACCATGAATAGTACAGACTGAGGTCCCTCACAGTGGTCCTCAGAGTTTAGGAGAGAGGCACAAAGTGGCTCGCCAATTAGATAAGAAGAGTTAATGGTTGGTGATGGTTGGTATCCTCACGGTTGGGCTACTGCCAAAAGTTAGCAGTAAAGGGAACAAAGGGTTATAATATGGAACAAGTCAAGAACTGAAGAGCCTGCTGAGAACCAGCCCTGGAACAACAAGAAGAAAAAATACTACTTCAAATGCACTGTACTTTCCCTTCAATATTTGTGTTGGTTTCTTAATTGTTTTTAACCACTGGAACTTTCATAAGCTCGTTAATATGTTAAACGACTCTTTCCATTAAGTCAGTACATACAGAGAGAGACCCAACTAAAACATCCATCGTCATAGACACAGGATTTCCTTAATACACTTAATATCAGGAACAAAGTTGAATTCCAATGTACACATACAAAGGGGTCAGTTTTATCCCTTAATGTTGGCTTTTGCAGTGATTCTGTGTCTGCTAATTGGTTTCTAATAACTCACAGTCATGAATAGGGGCTCTAGCAACAGGATAATAGCCTGCCAGCTCTTCCCAACTATCAAGCACTTTGAATGACTGGAATCAGCATGTTGTTCTGGGAAATGTCTGGAATTGCATCCGAGCTTAAAAGTTTATTAAAAAATGGTTGTGAAGTCATATTAAGCCAAGTCTCTAATTGAAAGGGGGTGAGGTGCAATCCCTGCAAATAATTAACTGAAAGAAAAAGAAAGAAAGTTGCACCCATACCAAGGGAACTATATGTTGTTGTTTTAAAAAAAAACCCTTTGCAAATTTGATCACATATAGAGAGTTCTGACTTACACAGTCATAATTTTTGAAAAAGCATTTTGCCAGTTTTGCAAATGAATAGCTATGGCATTTTAAAATATAGTATCTCTGTGTATTAAAAATGAAGTAAAAGGCATTTCTTCTTGTGCTAGGGTTTAGCAGGACCAGAAGGTAACCCAGGCCCTAAAGGTGTAAGAGTAAGTAAGCATTTTTAAAGGATTATGACATGCATGACTTTATTTTATTTTTTGCCCATTCACAATGTAGCATGGAACTGCAGATACTTCATCCAGATTTACTATTTTTTCTGCTCACTGGGTCACTCTGTGAGTTATTCACAAACTGTGTTTCATTGATGTTCATGGAAGGGTTTGTTTCATTGTGCTCACAGTCTACAGTCTACCCATGCTAGTGCTCCATCTTTGATTGGCATACAAAGAGAGAGAGACAGACCCCGGAGGGAAATAACATTGTGTGGATGTGCATGTATGGATGCTGAGCATTTTGTGCCTGAAACAATTGATTTTGTGTTGTTAAGAAGACAGGATGGAAGAATAAAACAGACTTTCCCCACAGTTATCAGGTTTGCAAAACTAAAGGTGTGTTTGGACGATACTTTCCTGATTCCTCCTCTGAATGCAGTAAGGTTGTGAGGAGGTCTTGGGCTTGTGTGCTTCCACCCAGTCCCTCTGTAACTGACCCAGAAGAATGTGAAATCTCCTTTGACCTTGGGTATTAAACTTGCTAAGCAGAAAAGGTCTAAAAGAGTTACGTGTGTGCCATCGAAAAGCGAAGCAATCCATTGTTCTATTTAGAATAGCAATTTTAGCAGAAAGGTGTAACAGTGCGGGGACATGATCAGCGTTCAGTCTCTTACCATAAGGCAATGGTGGCTAATCTGTGTCCCTCAAGCATTGCTGAACCACAACTCCCATTGGACCCAGCCAGCATGGCTGGTGATGAGGGATGATGGGAGCTGTAGTTCAGTATCTTAAGGGCCATGGGTTAGCTACGCCTGCCACTTGATCTAGGAACTAGTTTGCTCATTTCTTTTACATGGAAGAGGTTACTTCAGATTCTAACGAGTCACTACTGAACTAGTTGAACAGCTAGTCAAGCCAGGACAGCAAGCTCTGTAAAGTTAAAGGACTTAAGTGCTGTTTTACACTAAATTTAAGTCAGTGGCTCAACTTACTCAGCATTATCCATCCTGCATTTTGGGTTCCCAGCATCGTTTTCTGGTGTGCATGAAGTTTATTTTTAACTGGAGATGCTGGGAATAGAACGTGGGATCCTTCTACCACTAAGTCTATTCATTTTAATTGCCGATTAGTGGAATATTTTGTGGCAACATCTGAGAAATACGACTCTTTTTCTCAATAAACATTTGCTTGTCACCTTGGTTACTACTGCACAGATTTTGTTTTCCTTTGTGGGTTTTCTTTGTGTGTGTATGTATCATGTGCACAATTGAGAACAGTTGTCTTTAGTTAGAGTTTTCTGTATTTTGACACTATAAGTATAGACTACTTGGACATACAGATTCAGTTCCTGTTCTGATGCCATGTTTGAAAAATACATCAGAATTGATGCAATTGGCTGTTAAATTGGTGGGGGAAATTTAGTTATATTTACAAGACAATAGGCTGATTGGAAAAAATTAGTTTGGAGGAACAATTCACAAAGTGAAAATTATGCAATTAAAGCTAGGTGTTTCTTCAATATTTGAATTAAAATAACTTTATTCGATCATTCAGTCTTGGAAATAAGTATACAAAAGTTACTAGCCAATGACAGATTTTAAGATCAATCTCTCCTCATATTAGTCACTCAGTTGTGTCTTAATTTTCTTTTTTAAACAACCCCAGTTCTTGAATCTTTCTTGCCATGGGGAACCAGACAAGTGACTGTTTATTCTTTTGATCAGTTCATTTAATTGCAACAATAGGGTTTTCTCTGCAACATGTTTTCCTCCTTAGTTAAATTGCATGTAGCATTTGGTGCTGGTCATCTATGAGCATAGCAAATCGTAAGTGACTTTGTGCTGGAAAAACAATTTCTGACCTGCTTATTTCTTTTGTTTATCAAGGGTTTCATTGGCCCACCTGGTGTGGCAGGACTGCCTGGACCCGAGGGAGAAAGAGTAGGTTTTATGGAATTTTCGCGCATTTATGATAAGAAAGTGCCATGAAATCTAAATGTGACATGCATTTCATAGGACTCTGCCTCACATACACCAAACAGAGGGCCACACTAGACATGGCATTAAATGGATCATTTCTCTTAATGTGCACATTTCATAAAACGTAAACAGCTGCTGCAAGGGAACTCAGGAAGTGTAATTTGTCATGTCCTCTCCTTCCTTAATTTAACAACAACAACAACAAAATCAATGTGTTTATTCTTATGGCTTTTGGGGTCTATTCTAACCCTATTGACCGGAACAACTGAGAAATGTATGTGAGGTGCTTTGGTTCAAGTAATCCCTTTGGATACTGTTTAAATTTATTACTGTCTGCACACTGCCCACGCTTGTGCCCCAGAAAGGTCATTTCAGTGCTGCTAATGCAGCAAAAACAATGACACAGGAGGCAGCACTTATGAGTTACCGGTCTCTGTAGCCACAGTGGGTGCTGTGATTCTCCAGCAGTTTGACTCCACCTCTGGAGGCGAACTCCATCGTCTTTCGGGACAGACAGATGCCAACATGTCTACATATACTTAGATATCTGGTCTTTCATTGTCCCTTGAGCACAGAGGCAAGACTTTGTCTGTTTTTGCAATAGACAAATTACTCAGTTTCTTTTCAACGTCAATACAAATAGAGTCAATTAGGAGCCAATAGTACCCACAGGTGTATATCTCCACCCCTACGCCACCCCACCCCCCAAAAGATAGATATCATTTTGTGCACAGTTTACTAATTTGGCTTTTGGATCAGTATTTGCCAGCAGCCTCATGTTCTAAATCTGTGTGGAGTCATTTTTTCAGTGGGTCAGGACCTATGCTTTGAAACTGCTTGCCTATTAACGTTAGGTAGGCCCCTTTTAATATAATGTTTTAGATGTCTACTAAAAAAAACTTTATTTCAGCAGGACGTATAGTTTAGTTACTCATACTTGTTTTTAAATTTTGCTAATTTTAGCTGCATATTATTGAAAATTATTATGCTGTTTCATATATGCCACTTAGATTTTGTTATAAAATAAATAAGCAGGCTATAAACGTTATGGAATTAATTGATTTATTAATTAAAGATTGTAAACAAAGAACAAGAACAGTAATAGAAACAAACTGCATTATCAAGAGCCTGCAACTTTAATTCAAGGATTCTATTCTGTGACTTTTTTGTTTCAGGGCATTCCTGGTTTACCTGGAAAAAGAGGTCCTAAAGGGAGACAGGTAAAGTGCCTCAATGTTTCATTCATTAATTCATTCAGCCTTTATCGGCATAATGGGCCAATGTATTCTGTACCTAGTTTGCTGCTTATTTAGTTTGATTGGTTGTTCCCTTTTATATTCTGTCTTAAGAATGTTGAAATGCTGCTTTCCTCAGCTTTTTTTTTTAGTTTTGTCCTGGAGGAAAGGTTTCTTATTAAAAGGATGTTCTGTACAAAGGCCAAAAAAAGAAAAAGAAAGGGGGGGGAGTAGAGGACTGTAACAAAGAGCAGAAGGGTGCAGACAGAATGGAGGAGACCTCAGGATTTTGGAAAGAGCAAATAACGTTTTAACCTCCCCACTTTAGTTGTAAAACCTTGCTTCGAGAACAACTTAGCTTTATCAAAGTAGTGCTTCTTGCTGTCTCATAGACCTATGCAGTGAGAGACAGCACGAGAGGTAGCGCTCTGTGAAATAATAATAATAGTAATAATAGTAATTTATTTATACCCCAACCACTCTGGGTGGCTTCCAACAAAATATTAAAATACAGTAATGCATCAAACATTAAAAGCTTCCCTAAACAGGGCTGCCTTTAGATGTCTTCTAAAACTCTGGTAGTTGTTGTTCTCTTTGACATCTGGTGGGAGGGCATTCCACAGGGCGGGTGCCACTACCGAGAAGGTCTTCTGCCTGGTTTCCTGTAACTTGGCTTCTCGCAGTGAGGGAACCGCCAGAAGGCCCTCGGCGCTGGACCTCAGTGTCCGGGCAGAACGATGGGGGTGGAGACGCTCCTTCAGGTATACTGGACCGAGGCCGTAGGGTTGCTCCTAAAGAAAGATTCAGCATTTGAAATGCATCAGGCTAGTTTAAATGATGGGGAGAGCCATTCCCATGCACCTTTCTCCATGTGTAAATTACACTCCTTGAAATCCAAAAAGCAGCTGTAGTAGCTTTGTGGTGCCTGGCTTGCCCACCTGGGCCGTAATAGCTCCTGAGATAGATCTGATTTCCACTCCCCGCCATTATATAGGTTGATGTGCTGCTTTCAAAATGGTCTTGGCTCCATCTTGGTTACTCTTTTGCTACCGTTTCATAGGCAGTAGCATTAGAACGTCAGACTTTAGGAGAGAAAAAAGGGATTCTGCTAAGAGAGCAGTTGTGATTAGTACTTCAAATATTCTTGGCATACGTGAAGTGGAACAAAATATTAAACTGGTTAGCTTTATTATTAAGAAAATTATAGGGTCTGGGCTACAAGCTTTTTTAATATTCTGAATGTATAGTATGTTTAAATAAGAAACACTCTGTTATTCAAAACATATGTATCAAGTTTCTTTTCCACATTATGTATATTATATGAAAACTGGCATGTTTTACTGTATTTGAAAGTTATTGCCAATCGTATTATATTTGATACACAGAATTTTTGCAAACGTTATATTTGGTTCGGGAGAATAAATTATATGAGGGCTTTCTTATACATGGAATTATTCTATACAGCTAGAAGTCAATCTGATGTAGGACACTTCATAAATTGAATTTACAGTTTTCCAGCTTAACTCACTGTAGCTGCAAGAACAATCCATCATAGTTCCTAGTAAAATATTAATAGACTTCCTCCTAGGGATGTTCTACAGAAGCCCAGCAACTGGTACTATTTAATGCTAAAGAACAGTGTACCACCTGAATTGTTACAGGGATGTTTAAAATGTAATGGGAGATAACACTTTTTAAAAAGACAAATCCTGACAGTGGCTTATGGGAGATTTAGGCTGGCATCTGAAGAGTTATTTTTGTATCTCCAAAAGTTTTTGGACTGTTATTGTAATAATTTTTTAGCAGAGGACTGTCTCTTTGCTGCCATGCCTTATCAGATACTGCTTTTGCAAGTAGCCTCAGGTGTCAAAAGAGAATGGCTATAGTAGAGTATCGTTCAAGGAACACAACTTGAAAGCACCCCTGGGAACGCAGAGCTAGCAATGTAATTCTTTGGATCCTGATTTTTAGGACTTCTCAGTTTTCTGAACAGTGTTGGATTTAAAACAACACTGACCGATATTTGAGAATTAAAGAATTGCCTTGCTGTAGCAGTTCATAGCAGTATGAATAGAATCGTGCTCTGTTCTGGTCTTAGCTTTGTTTTGTCTTGCTTTTTTATATATAATGCTGACTTGTTTTAAATTGGCATGGCGTGGAGTTGCAGTGGTTGACTGATTGCTGTCACGGTAAAAGTTGATTCCCAGGGGGTCATTAACACAATAAGGATACAGATATTTATCCAGAGAAACGCTCAAAAAGGAGTTCCTACTTCACCACTTGCTTCCAGTAGCAAATGCTGTGGTTTGGCAGTCACCTGACCTCTAGTTGGTTGTGTCACTACTGGTTACCAGGAGGTAGAGGGGAAGGGGTGAGGCAGTGGTGAGGTCAGTGTGGCACAAACGGATATAATATGCATGGGTTGCTTGTTCATGCATGTGTGTGGGTTGTTTGATTACTCTTGAAGACTATACACTTGAGGAGGATTCATGCAACCCCCTCAATGCACCGAAATAAGGTTTGTGCATTCAAGTTACATCAGAAGGAGAACCACTCATGTAGTGCTCCTCCACATGAGGAGGAACCCCATTCCAATTTTGAACATGTGGATGTGGGGGCACTGGCAGAGGAAGAGGGGTGCAGGGGGAGCGCACCGCCCCGGCAGCATGATCCTGGTGGGGTGCCATCGTGGCTGCCCCCCCCGCCCATGCTGGGTGCCACGCCCTTGCGGGCGGTGCACCACACCCCCAGGACACGCGCCATGCCTCTGCGGGCGGTGCGCCATGCCCCCAGAATGCGTGTCACACCCCTGCAGGTGGCACGCCACACCCCCAGGACTCGTGCCAGCCCCGTCCCCACCTGCTCTCCACCCCCCCAGTGCCGGAGCATGAAGCTCCACCACTGTGAGGCAGAAAATGTGGTAGCAGTCCATGCAAGTCATCACTGGAAGCTGCCAGCCTGATGGTGTTGACTCAGTGTGCAGCAGCTGTGAAAAAAGATTAATTCGACATTGGTGGTCATTAGGAAAAGGTTTTTTGTGGGGGGGAAATGCCTATATCATAATGCTGTTGTTCAAATCTGTGGTGCAACCCTACTTGCGTATAGTTCTGGTTTTCCTCACCTCAAAAATGATACGGCAGAGCTGAAAAAAGTTTGTCAAAGGGCAACCCAAACGATCAAACAGTTGTAGAACTCCCCTGTGAGGAAAAGTGGCAACGTTTAGGGGTTTAAAGTCTAGAAAAACGGTGAGCACGAGGGAGCAGAGGGATATAAAATTATGCTTCATGTGGAAGAAGTGGCTAGGGAGAAACTTCTCTGTCTTGAAATGCTAACATCAAGCTGAATGTTGAAAGGTTCAAGCCAGATGGCAGAAAGTACTTATTCACATAGTGCATAGTTAAAACTATGGAATTTACTCTCACAAAAAGTGGTGGTAGCCACAAATCTGTACAGCTTTAGAAGAGTGTTAGCCAAACTCATGGGGGATAAGGCAATCAGAGGCGTCGTAGGCTGCATGCTTCTGAATAGCAGTGGCTGGAAACCACAGGAGAGGAGAGTCCTGTTGTGTTCAGGTCTTGCTCGCAGGTCTCCCACAAGCATCTGATTGGCTACTGTGAGAACAGGATTAGACAAGATGGCCTGATACACTGGGGCTCTTACGTTCTTTATGTGGGAATCAGGCTGTTAGAGCTGGAAAGCCGATAAGAGACTAAATTAGTAAATCAGTGAATAACTCCCAAACACTATTCGGTTTGAAGATTCCTAAGAGCAAGTCCGTCCCCCCCAAAGCTTACTCTCAACATATAATGTTAAATATGCACTCATATATGCTGTGACTCCTAACAAAACTATTGGTGATGTTTTAACCAGGGATTACCAGGTGATATTGGAAATAGAGGCCCCCCTGGTCCTGATGGAAGTCCTGTAAGTATGATGTCATGCGACAGAAAACAATAATGGAATTTTTGAGGTTATTCAGTCTCTGACAACCTGTAAGAGGCGTTGCTCCAGGATTATAACACATTCCTATCTATAAGAGGTTCCATTTACCTAATATGAGGTTAACCTCTCTGAGTATCTGGGTTGGAGAGATTGAGCATCCTAGGTCCTTATGTTTTCAGAGCGACATTTTAAGCTAAATGCCAAGTTGAATGCATGATTGTGCTTGTGTATCTTTAACCTAATAACAGCCTTGGAGAAATTGGCATGCAATATGGGAGGAGAAAGGGAACTTCACCTCACTCCTCATGCCATTCTTTTCTTCTTCTTTTTTTTTTTTTTTTGCTATGTGCCTTGTGACAGGGACACGGGTGAGCTACTGGGGATGCAAATAGCAGAATCCCCCCCCCCAATGCCAGGGGCATTGTTCAGGAATGGTCCAGAAGGCCCAAGGTGTTTTGTTTTGTGCCCCACATCTCATGTCTTTCCCCCTGCTCAACAACAACAACAACAACAACAACTTTGCATACATGCACACTGCAAAGAGCAGTGCTAGTGTGATCCCAGCCACCCATCATCTTAATTTACCCAGAGGCACTTATTTCCGCTTTAATATGTACGTGAGTAGCAGTTCTTAGGGGTCCAGAAATTACTAGGAAGGTCCAATTCACATACAGTGTACCAGGCTCAGAAAATCCTGCTAGCATTGCATAGCTCGGAGATAGCCCTGGTAGCCAGAGTTCATCCTAAATTTCCACATATGTGCATATATATATATATATATGTATGCAAATTTGTGTCATGAGTCTGTGTGCAGATTATTTTAAGCATCTGAAAGCTACACAACTGCTGAAGGTGAACGGCAGTGTTTTTCTTCAGGAGAAGAATATTATGTGGATGTATTCGTCCCTTTTCTCTTATGTTGCAGTCCCAGTCCAAATCAGGGCCTCCCATGACTGTTGCATTATTATTAATAATAATAATAATAATAGTAATAATAATAATAATAATACAGATAGACAGATTAGGTCAAACATTTTACTTCTTAGGGATGTCATCAGAAAGAAGGCAAGTGATTCCTTGGTTGTATTCATGATAGACCCTTATAACAGTAGCTGCTGTTGTGGAGCTGTGGACCCACGCTCCTGATCGCGCCATCATTGCAGAGCCAATCCGCCACTCCTGCCACTGCCTGACCTCAGTGTTGCCCCACTTTGGTCCCACCCAGGGAAGGTGCAGCAGTGCTGATATTGGGAGGGCATCTCTGTCACTTAGCTCCACCAAACCAGCCACTGCAGCTCTGTAGCAGCTGAACACTTGAACTAGGACTTATGAAGAATGTCGTCCTGGATGGCTAGGAATTCACAGCAATCTGAGTTTGTAGTCTGGGATGCTGCAAGCGCTGGACACCGTCAGAGCATTTTATGGGGGCTTCTTAATAATTGCTTATATCAGAATTAGTTTGTTGTGGGGTTCGTTTTGATAAGTAAAGAAAATACCTTGGACCTTTGGCCCTGTAAGAAGCCTGAGCTAACTGCTAGCAGCTGCTTCTTTATAAATGCTCAGATAAAATATTTTGCAAATGCTGCTGCAGAATAAACAGTTTAATTATAGAATCAAACTTGGCAGAACCTGGATTCCAAGAAAGAGAGAGAGACACACAAAAACTATTCAGTGCAACTGAGAACGTTTATATAGAAGAAGAAGAAAAGTCAATAAATCCGTTTGCAAAGGAGTTCCTTCTAATTGTCTGTGACAGCTGCTGCTATCGAACAACCAGTCAAGCCTGCCCCGCAGGTTGGTTCAGGCAAGCTGCCAAACCTGCAGCTGCTGCAGTGGGGAGGGTTGCAGATGCTAATAAGATAGTTATTGCACCTACTGTAGGAAAAATGTGGGATGGCTCAGAAGCTAATGCAGGTTTCCTCCAAACTCTGACATTAGAACTTGAGCAGCTGGTAATGAAGAGAAACCTATGTTTAAAACATACCTAGATGTCATACGTATAACCAGCACTTTGGAAAAGACACAGATAAAGGCAACTACAGATCTCTCCTTGTACAGTGGTACCTCGGGTTACAGACGCTTCAGGTTACAGACTCCGCTAACCCAGAAATAGTGCCTCAGGTTAAGAACTTTGCTTCAGGATGTGAACAGAAATTGTGCTCTGGCAGCGCGGCGGCAGCAGGAGGCCCCATTAGTGAAAGTGGTGCTTCAGGTTAAGAACAGTTTCAGGTTAAGAATGGACCTCCAGAACAAATTAAGTACTTAACCCAAGGTACCACTGTACCATTTGCAAATGTGCCCACAGGCCCCAAACAGTGGCAACCCTTGCCATATGCTCTCCTCTGCCCCACGTGTTCTGCTATAATAGAGCAAATGCTTGTCTAAAGAATAGTTTTAGGTATAGTTGCCTTTCTACATCACCATTTTAAAAATAGGAACTGGAAAGAGGGTATACCAACTTCATGATACAGATTTGGCCACCTGAGTAGTTGTTTAAAGTGCCAATGAATGGAGGAAACAAACAAAACAAAACAAAAACCCTCTCTGCGGTTCTTTGTGGCTTAATAGCACGTGAGACTGCAAATCAAGAAGTCCCTGGTTCGAATCACGCTTCAACTTTTGATGTCACTTAATCCTTTTGGATCTTATTAAGTCCCCCTCTAAAACACGCCCCCACGTCAATCATCTGCCATATGGGAATAATACTACAGTGGTGCCTCGCAAGACGAAATTAATTCGTTCCGCAAGTCTCTTCGTCTTGCGAGTTTTTCGTCTTGCGATGCACGGTTTCCCATAGGAATGCATTGAAAATCAATTAATGCGTTCCTATGGAAACCGACTTCAGACCAGGTCCGGGGACAGTCTGTCCCCCGACCTCTTCTGAAGGCTGGGGGGGGGGAACAAGGGCTTTTCTTCCCACCCCCAGCATTTTAAAAAAAACCCGGGACAGCTGAGACTTCTCCGCTGTCCCGGGGCGATCTTAAAATGCTGGCGGGCGGGAGCGAAACCTCCGCTGCCGCCCGCCAGCATTTTAAAAAACCCCGGGACAGCGGAGGGCTTCTCCGCTGTCCGGGGCGATCTTAAAATGCTGGCGGGCGGCATTTTAAAATCACCCCGGGACAGCGGAGGACTTCTCCGCTGTCCGGGGCGATTTAAAAGCCCCTGGGAAGGCAGGCAGGGGGGACCAAGACTTTTGCCCCCCGCCAGCCTTCAGAAGAGGTCCTGGACCTCTTCTGAAGGCGGGCGGGGGGCGAAAGTCTTTGCTCCCCCCTGCCTGCCTTCCCGGGAGAGCGGAGAAAGGCAGTGCGTTTCTCCGCTGTCCCGGACGGCTTTTGAGGGCAGGCGGGGGGGAGCAAAGACTTTCGCCCCCCGCCCGCCTTCAGAAGAGGTCCCTCTTCTGAAGACGGGCGGGGGGCGAAAGTCTTTGCTCCCCCCCCCCGCCTGCCTTCAAAAGCTGTCCTGGACAGGCTTCGCGGACCTCTCTGCAAGCAGCGGGAATGCTCCCGCTGCTTGCGGAGAGTTGCCAGCATGCCGAAGCCTGCGCGCGCTGAGATCAGCGCGCCCAGGCTTCGCGGCCCCGCCGCCCGGCTTCGGAGCATCCATCCGAAGCCGGGCGGCGGGAGGAGGTGTTCCCGCCCCGCCGCCCGGCTTCGGAGCATCGTTCCGAAGCCGGGCGGCGGCGGGAGGTGTTCCAGCCCCACCGCCCGGCTTCGGAGCATCGTTCCGAAGCCGGGCGGCGGCGGGAGGTGTTCCCGCCCCGCCGCCCGGCTTCGGAGGAGCCTTCCGAAGCCCGGCGGCAGCGGGAGGAGGTGTCCCCGCCCCGCCGCCAGGCTTCGGAGGAGGTCCGAGGACAGTGGGGAAGACACGCTGCGCTTCCCCGCTGCCCCGGAGATTTCCCTATGGGCTGTCGTCTTGCGAAGCAAGCCCATAGGGAAATTCGTTTTGCGAAGCGCCTCCAAAACGGAAAACCCTTTCGTCTAGCGGGTTTTCCGTCTTGCGAGGCGTTCGTCTTGCGGGGCACCACTGTATTGGTTTTTCCTGCAGGGTGGTGGAAGGGTGTGTGTGGAATGCTTTGAACACTTACAGTGAATGTGAACTATCATCATTATTTGAAAAATAATGTTGATTGTGAGGTAGAAATTATTGTAACTGTGCAGCAGAATTGTCAGCCCCCCTACAGGTAAACCTCCACCACCATCACAGATCCTTGAGTGCAGCAGTGGTCTGCATGACGATAAATAAATAGAATGGTATATTTCACACATTAACAGCGAATCCTCAGAGCTGCAAAATGGAAATATGTGAATCAGTAACCTCGATTCCATTGCATACTGAGCAGATAAAGCAGCATATAAATGGAAAGACAAAGCAAAGCACCTTTTTGCACAGAGTGTGGAATTTGCTGCCACAAAAATCACGTGCCCAGATGCATGAAAGGTGGGGTGTCAGAGCAATAAATGGCATGGAGACAAGGCCACAATTTTTATTTGGGTTACAACAACCTGGGTGGATGTATGGTACAGGGCAGGTCCCATTCATGCAGCTAACTTGCAGTCCAAGGCCCCTTTCCCATGTGCTGGGGTCTGTCCACAGGGTGTTGGCCTGAACTTACAAGCCTACTTACAAGCATGGACCAGTCCCAGTGGGCTCCTTAGGAAACCTATGAGCGTTGCCAAGCAGCAACCCCCCGAAGTTGGGTCGGCTGTTAGAAGGCAGACTCTCTTAATCCCTTATTATGGGAGATCCCCATTGGGGGGCTGGGAGCCAACCCTCTGCTTTGCATGGTAATTACACAGATTCATGGAGAATCAGCTGCTTGTGATCATGAGTGCTCTCTGTCACCTGCAGGAACAGAGGCAACATGCCTCTGGATGTTGTAAGCATCTTGTAGCCATCTGGCCACAGTTCTGATCCAACGGGGCTCTTACATTCTTTTTCCCTATGCCGAACTCATATCCTGCAACCTGTGGCCTGTATTTGTCACAATCTGAACTTTTGCTTGGAAACATGCAATTCTAATTGTTTTACGCCCTTTTTTTTCCCTTCTTCAAAGGGAATTGTTGGTGGTATTGGTCCTCCTGGATTTCCTGGACTTCGAGTGAGTAGATATGCTTCATCCCATAGACCTTTTTTCAAAAGTTCAATTAATTACTCATGGGTGCTGGGCCATGCATTCACAGAAGTTTCTGCTAAATATTGAGGGGATTTTAGGGATAGTGATTTGCACAAACCTTCTGTAGTTCACTAATGTACATGCAATTTGTACATGGCTGCCCTGATCTGTGGTCATTTTAACTTTGTTGTGATCTTAGGACTGTTGTGATTGAATTGTGGCAACCTGTGCTGTAACACCAGGGCTTGTGCTTGAGTGTTAGTGTTTCCTGCTGAAACCGTACACAATGGCAGATTTGGCTGAATGGGAGCTGGGGCAAGACGGAAATGGAACAGAAAGCAAAAGGTTGTGGGGTGGGGGAGGTTTGCAGCTAGGATGAATGAACTTGAAATAAAGAGCAAAGTAGGTCATGCTGCAACACAAACTATGCATGTTTATTAGAGAAGCTTTATTTATTTTTTAATTCCGGGGGGAAAGTGCTTAAATGGGTTGGAATAGAGAAAACATGGCTTGGAGATATATGCCCATATGCTATTTACTGAATAGGAAGACGTGAACTGCAGTCTTTTAGCATGTAACTGAAAACATGAACCACCTACACAGATGCATGGCAACGCTAATTTTCTCCAGAGGAAACATGCATCAAGGAATCAGTAAGGAGGGAGGGGATTGTGTAGGCATTTTGTGGCCAACCACCCCATCCTCTGTGCCACAACCACCCAGGCAGATGCATGATAGGAGTATGTGCTTATCAGAGTGCAAGGCTATAGCACATGTGTAGCATCTGGCAGTGCTGGTTCACTGCCAAACTTATGTGCTCTGTCTCTGGCCCCCGGACAAAATTAACTGCTCTGCCATTAGAAGCAGCTTTTAAAATTTGATTCTTGATCGCAAAAGTCTTTTTGCATCTAAATGCATTTGAGAAAGACAGTGGAAAGCTCGACTGCATGTTTAGTTATGTGAAAAGATGCTCTCTCAGCCAGAAACTCTTTTGTGCACGAGATCCGTAGCCATTTCACATCAGTGGCAAAAGTAGCTGCACATTTGTTGCAAATTTGTTCATGTATGCTGTTTGGTCATCCATCCTGAAACATACGCGGTGACACAAAAATGATAGGATGTTGATTCAAGTATATTGTTTACGTTTGAGTTCGTAAAGCCTCTCAGACTTTTGACAAAGCTCCTTACAAATTAAAAGTAGTCTCTTTTCTTACTTTCTAAGTAGCAAAATGAGTTCTTATGCACAGCCACGCTTGTATTCTTTAGTCATCATGTTACATGATCTGCCTTTCAGTGCCATAATTTTGATTCTTCACAGCATTCTTTTATTTTGCTTCCTAAAACAGATTTTTTAAAATGTGTTTTTCTTGGATGTTGCTAAGGAGCAAGTAGCACAAGTATTTCTTCCCTTCAGTGGAAACATATTCCCATTCTGTGCTTGTAGAAAGCCTTCGTTTCCATCCAAGCTCACATGTGAGTCTACTCTAGATCAACACACCGGGCCTAAGTTATTTTCTCTTTCTTATAGCTGGAATAGTTTCAGCTGGCTTTCAAGTCGGCGCAGGACTTTGCCATATGGATATTTCCATAACATCAACATTGGCTTGGCTGTTTCTAGACAAAAGTACATTTAGCCATTGCCAGATCAAGGCTTCCAGGCTATGGCTGAGATCCTAAGCACACTTGCTTGGAAGCAAGTCCCAGTGAAATCAGTGATGAAATCAGTTCCAAGTTGTGGTTAAAATAAGGTCCCAATATTCTACTGTTTAAAAAAAGACCCAAACAAACTCCAACAAAAAACTATAACTGGAAACGAAACCAAGGTGGACTTTGCCAGAAAATACTAAGACTAATGGTATGGTGGCTGCTTTTGATTTCTAGGAATAAATGATGTGACAGAACATGTATGCACATTTAAATGAAAGGGTCAATTACACAACAGAGCAATCTAGTCCAAATGTCTGCTTCAAAACCTGAAGTAAAAAAGGCTTTTAAAAAATGTTATCTACACTCATTTTCAGGGGAATATTTACTTACTTTACTGTTAGTTTACTTAGTCCATTTCTATTTTGAAAAATACACAATCCATTTAAGTGGCATTCTTCCCTTTGCCTGTGCTGAGACACAACCCACTCTTAAGAGGAGTTTTGGCCCGGGTGATTACTCAGAGTTGATCTACACCCTCATAATAATCACGAGGTATGAGTTATTCAGAAGTGACCCGCTTTAAATTGTTCTAAAAGTTCTATATGTTCCCAGTGTTCCCTATGAATGCCTTGTGTTTAGAAAGCTAGCCCTCCAAAACATTCAGATCCTGAACTGATGTATGAAATCAGATGTAGGAGAGCAAGCTGAGACTGAGACAAGACAGAAATGCTCTTGTTGGTAGGATGGTTGATGTATCATAGAGATGCAGCCTATTTTAGACAGGGTTGCAGTGCCATTGAAGAATCAGGTGCATAGCCTATGAGTACCTCTGTACTTTGACTTCCCATGGGAAAACTGTATTTTGACTGTGCTAGGAGAGCTTTAGTATAAAATAAGCTTGTGTCCCAGCGGCCACTGCAGAAAGAGGACACGGCCTGGGTCACTCATACTTTAATTTTATCAAGGCTAGTTTGCTGTTACAGGCTGTACTTGGGGCTGTCTTTGAAGTATGTTCAGAAATTTCAGTTAGTACAAAATGCTGCAGCTACACTTCAGACCAAGGCCAGTTTTTTAAAAAATAAGAAACGAAACGAAAACATTCAACTGTGTTGTTGTTTTTTACCAACTTCACTAACTCCATGTCGTATTTTGAGCTTAGTTCAAAGTGTTGGTCATTATTTATTTATTTTGTAATTGTTTTCACTTTCTGGTACACAAAAAGCAAAAATAACAACAATAAAGAGAAACTGCCAAAGCAAGATGAGGGGAAGAAAGGAAGGCTGAGAGAAGAGAGGAGGGAGTGGTACTATTCTGAAAAGCAGCGTTATAGTTCCAGACAATTGTCCTTTATTGGCATATTATCCCAGAATGTTTTTTTTTTTTCATGAGAAGAAGGCTTTTCCTTTACTTTAATACATTCAGTAAATGGATGCCAAACTTTAGAAAAGTTGTCTTTCGTTTTCGGATGCCGTACCAATAGTCTTACATGTCCCCTGTAGCTGACTTCCATTGTCTGGCCACTATAAGCCTGGCAGCTACGAACCAAAGGAATCAAAGTAGTTCTTTATTGGAAAACTCTGCTTCTGAATTATCAAATAAGGAAAAAAGGGCCATCACTGGGTCCAGATATTATGTTTGGAATGTAAGATAGGCTTATTTAATAAAGCCTTGAAAGACTGAATAACAGGGCAAGGCCACTGCATATGGTTGTATGTACCCATCCCCTCCCACTCGTCCAGCAAACTGAGCTGCTTGTTTTAGTAATTCTGCTCAGGGCATGGGGGGATAGGTCCCACCTGCAGATAACCTTATGTGCATTCTCCCAAATGCACGCTAATAGGGTGTGAAATCGGTTAACGTGACCTTCCACACTTGCGAGCAAATGAGTGGCGCTTCCTGATACTTCATTTTTCATCCCGTCATTCAGCATAGACATTTCCCCATCTGGAAAGAGCAGGAAAGTTCTACCTGGCTGTATTGTTCAGCCCTTTTCCAATCTATCAGGTAGGCAGGATATCCTTGCAATGTATTTTCCAGCTGAGGAAAGAGAACGGTAATATCGTGATTACACGCACATCTTGGATGTTTTATTGTTGTTTAATTAGCTCTCAGACAGGTTAGCTTGGATGGGTCAGAAGAAGACCAGCACTCAAGCAGCAAATACACTCTATTGTCTTATGACAGAGGTGGCCAACATGTTGTTTTCCAGGTGTTGTTGGACTACAACCCACATCTTCCCCGGTTATTAGCCGTGCTGACTGGGGCTGACAGGATTTGTAGGCCAAATGCATATGTTGGATACTCCTATTATACAGGCTCTCTGTGTGACTTAGTTCCCTTTTAAGAGTAAACACACAGAGCAGTCATGTTCTTTATTGTCTTTTAGGGTGTTGTAGGACCAGCCGGACCATCTGGCGCACCTGGGATTCCTGGACCTCTGGTACAGTGTTTCGTAGCTCATACCCAAGTGTTTTGCTGAAAGCCCTTTTCTGCCAGACAGTTGAACAATTGTGTTTTGTAATTTCTTTTATCTTTCTTCTGCATAGGGTCTTCCGGGGAGTATGGGGCAACCTGGATTGAAAGGTGATAAGGTGATCTAAATAGTTTCATTATCGGTGCTCTTTTAACTTTGAACCTTATCTACACCTCCTAATGTGATTCTACAAAGAACCCTTTCTTACTTTTCTTTTTTTTGGGGGGGGGGAAGCACCTGCAATAAGGTTCTACATTTTACCCGCCGCTTTGTTTTGTACAAGCTACTCGGGGCTAAGAATCTCTGCCAACACACACTTCCTGCTGCTGTAGCTATTACTACTGTGAATAATCTCATCAAATGCTGAGACCTGTTTTAGCCATTAGAGGCTCTGAAATCATACTCATTTGTGCAGCAGTGCAATGCACTTGGGCTGTGAATAACAAGCCATACTGACACATTTCTATGTCTGTTGGACTTCATAAAACTTTCTATTAAAGTGTCCCTTCTCTCTCTCTCTCTCTCTCTCTCTCTCTCTCTCTCTCTCTCTCTTTCTTTCTCTCTCCCCCCCCCCAATGTTTCTGAATATACTAATACATTGTTTAGGGCGAACAAGGCATTTCAGGAGAGATGGGGGAGCTGGGATACCCAGGAGACAAGGTAACTCATAACAGCTCTGTTTTGACCAACTTCTATAACTCTTAGTCTTCTTGGAAATGTGCTACACTTTATACAGAGTGGTCTTATGTTCTGCACTGTTGTGTTTATCAGTCATGGGTGGTATCCAAAGAACTCATTCTCAGCTCTGCTGATGTCACTTCCTCTTCCTCTGGCTGCACTGACTGCTGGGGCTCGCTCATGGTTTCATTCAATCGTAGGCGAGCTTGGGGGCATGACCTGGGGGGCAGACCAGAGGGAAGACTTCATCTCTGACTTCCCTCTGATCCTGGCTGTATAAGCCACCCACGCCCAGGCACTGGTCTAAATTGGTGTTTGGTATCCCCACCCACTCGGCACTCTGTGTGCAGGACTGCCCGTGAGCATGCCATGCATAAGACCTTGCTATGGACACCTTCAATCACTGTATTCAGGGCCAGGGAGCATTTTGCCTGTGATATTTTTTGAGGCAGATTGATTCCAAAGTGTATGTTGCTGCCTTCCGGAATACAACATCCTCGGTGAAATTCAACATAGTGCTAAGGCTAACGTTGCATTAGTGCAAGGATTTTTCCTTGCTCAGCAGAACATTCTCCACTTCCCTGTATGTCCTCTAGATAAGCTCCCTGCAAACTTTGCGCAGACAAATCAGGATGATTGCTCAATTAACAGGTTGTCTAGAAGCAACCTATGTTTCTCTGACAGAATGGGGAAGGATAAGCACAGGAGGGAAGCAAGAGGTTTTGTTTTGCTTTAAAACCCATCTAGGTGGAATGGTTTTCAAAGAAAAATGTTTCGTAGCAGTGGCAAAAAGAAAGAAAGAAAAAGAATTAAATGTAAATGTCTGTCTTTTATTCTTGTCAGCCCCCACGTAGCTTTGTAATGCAAAATATCTATGGGCGCAGGCAAAGAAATCATTATTTTAGCTGAGCTGCAGAGTTAAGCTGTATCTGGATAGGATTTTCCTATATTTCTATGGGAATGCTTTATCCCCAAAATGGAAGCATAACAAGTCCTGTGACAGATAATTTATAAAACCATCTCCTCCCTCCTTCTATTTTTAATGGGAATGTGCTGCCATAATTTTCACTTTAATTCTAGCCACTCTTAACTGTATTTCTCAAAGGGTGCAGCTGGTTTGCCGGGGCCACCAGGAATCAGAGGAAAACCAGGACCCCCGGTATGCCTTAACATTTAACTTCATTTGCACTTCGACAGTAGCAGCATTTATTTGAGTTTGGTATCCAATAATATCTAAAAGGGTTGCTGACCAAATCTTATCCGGCACATTGCCATACAATGCATGTTATTTATAAGAAGTAAGGAACTAAATCATTGGGCAATATATCTGGGGTGTGTATGTGGTTGGGGAGCATTTTCAGATGTTCAGCTTTCATAATCTAAAGTCCTGATACTGGTTATGCGTGTTTCTTATTTCAAGCAAACAAGGATTGTTTATAAATTTGAAGAATGTAAATGGGGCAAAAATTCTTTCCGACCAAATTAATAACAACAAGAAACCAGGGAGAAAGAGAAACACCTACAGAATCTGATTATTTGAGCAAAATAAGAACCCATTGGATATGAAACCATTAACCTATTTGATTCATATAAGAGAAAGGACAGTCCAAAAATGGGGGGGGGGGTGTCATGTGACAGGAACTGAACTGTTTTTCGAATTGCAGGGATACGATGCATCTTAGTTGTATTTTCCAATATGCGTGCATTGACATTATTTTAAACACAAAAAATAAATTAATAACCAGTACGGAGTGAACATTGGTAATATCCAAATTGATAATAGGAAACTTTATATTCCTTGGACTGTCTGTTGGTGAAAATATAACAAATGGTGTATTAAAAATCACTCCAGATAGATAATAGATAAAGGGGTTGTATCCAAGACTAGTCATACTTAGAGTAGAGCCTTTAGGTAAAAGTAAAGGGACCCCTGACCATTAGGTCCAGTCGCAAACGACTCTGGGGTTGTGGCGCTCATCTCGCTTTATTGGCCAAGGGAGCCGGCGTACAGCTTCCAGGTCATGTGGCCAGCATGACTAAGCCGCTTCTGCTGAACCAGAGCAGCGCATGGAAATGCCATTTACCTTCCCTCTGGAGCAGTACCTATTTATCTACTTGTACTTTGATGCGCTTTCGAACTGCTAGGTTGGCAGGAGCAGGGACCGAGCAACGGGAGCTCACCCTGTTGTGGGGATTCGAATCGCCGACGTTCTGATCGGAAAGTCCTAGGCTCTGTGGTTTAACCCACTGCGCCACCCGCGTCCCTCAGTAGAGCCTTTAATACACCCCTATTTTGGAATTAAAAATTTACCAAAAACGGGAGCCATTTCACCATGAAACCCTTAAAATCAAGATAGATAGATATAAACTTATCTTTTGGTAATTGTTCAGAAGTACGTATTTGTGAAGAAATAGGAAACGTCTTATGCAGAACTAATCAGAAAAACCTGAATTTATAATGGATGCTCTAATTTTAGGGTAAAACAGGAGATCCAGGACCCCGGGGACCACTGGGACCTCCTGGACCTGAGGTAAGGAACTATTTAAAGAAGTAAATAATGCATCCTACTTTGCACTGAAAACAGCACAATTAGGCCAAGCTTTCGCTGCTCATGCATGAAGGGTGGCTGATTTGGCTCATGATGCAGTAACCGTACTGAATTTGGTCAGTGCCTGAATGGGAGACCACTTGGGAACTTTGGATGCCCCAGAAGAAAGGAGGTGTATACATGTAATAAATAAATAGCCATTTCTGATTCTTTGTTTAATGCAGATGTTATTCAGTACTTGCTTGGAAAGCAGAATATACAGTTTGCACTGATCCGGTTAGCTGGGATCCTTTTAAGATCCTCAATAAGAATCTACATTCATGTTTTGCAATACATAAATATATTTAAGTTAGGAACGTAATTGCTTAAGAGCCAATAAGTTGTTTAGAAGAAGAAAACCCTTTAAAACTGGTTTATTTGCCTTAACCAGGTGTCATATTTGGTTAATACATTGCTGCATTACAACCTCAGTTCTCAAACGTCTCCGTTGACGAATGATTCGGAACCCAAACGCCAAAAACCCGGAAGTACCATTTCCCCCCGTGTATAAGACTATATATTTTTCCTAAATTTTTGAAGTTTAAAATAAGGGGTCATCTTATACACGGATAGTGTATAGTGCATTTTCTTAGTTTTGAGTCCCCCCAAATAGGGGCGTTATACATGAGGGTGTCTTATACACAGAAAAAGATGGTAATTGCTTCCATTTTTGAACAAGCCTCAAAAGTTGAATGGCTTCCACTGCATGTTTTTCCATTTTTTTCAATGGATTTTGCCGACTGCCCATTGCTCCTTGGTTTTTGAACGTTTCGGAAGTCGAACCGTCTTCCAGAACGGATTACATTCGAAAACTGAGCTTCCACTGTATTGCAGAAATACGTTCATAACTATAATCTAAGGCTCATAAATATAATCTAAGGCTTGTGTTGCATGGCAAACTGCAGTGTGCTTCAACAAGCATTTTCTCATGTAGCTTGTGTTCGGTGGTGGGTAATGAGGGTCAGCTGACCGAAAGCAGGGAGAGGGAGAAGTAAAAATAATAATCCCATCAGGCGCACCCATTCTCTTGGGCCTAGCTACAGTATATTTTTGAATCTGAGTTTAAAGACTTTTTATTTCTGCTGTGAAAATGGAATTTCATGAGAACAGGAGCATTGTTACTATTATCTGCATTGGAAAGCCATCTGATTAAAACCACTATCCTGTGTATGGAAAAAGGATTCCTTGCCAACTCCGGCAGACTGAACTTCTCTGTGTCTTCGTGGGGTTCTTCCCCCTTCGGTGGGGAAGTCCCTGCATTGCATCCCACAAACTTCTTTCAAAGCAGAATTTATTGTTTCCTCAAGGGGCTTTACTCCAGACTGCATCTGGAGTAAAGAAAACATAAGTCATTTCTTTCAATAGATACTTCATTGTATCCATAAATTGTTTTGATCTGAAATTGCGCACTTAATTTTTTTCAGGACAGTCAGCCACATGGGAGTCGACTGCCATATGTTTTGTGCACAGAGCTTGGGAATTACAAAGGAAAAGGGGCACGTTTGATTTGAATCATGCTTTGGTGGCAGCAAAATGCAAGTTTCTTAACGCACGAATCCCTGATCGTGCTCCCAAAAGTCTACTTTCAAGCCATGTTTCATCTCAAACTGTGACGTTTTGAGGTTCTGCAGACAATGCTGTAAGCACTGGGGTTTCCAATAACTTCTGTTTACTATTACTTACATTAAAAAAAACCCCAACCTCATAACAGCTGGTAGTTAGCTATCAGTGTTTCTGCATAATTTCCTGCAACATGAGAGTGCTTTGAATCTCTTGATTCTCAAGTGCCTTTGGCCAAGAGTAATTTAATTAATTAAGGTGCTTCGACCTATATTTCCAAAGCAAGGCTTGTTATTTCAGGGTTGCCAGGTGGAAATTCCAAACACAAGAGACACCAAGGGAACTATGGAGCAGTTATCTGAAATTAGACACATACTCTTAAAATAAGAGACATCTGGCCACTATACAGTCATACCTCAGGTTGCGAACTCTGCGGGTTGCGCATTTTCAGGCTGTGGACTGCGCCGAACCTGGAAGTACCGGAACGGGTTACTTCCGGTTTTCTGCGCATGTGCAGAAGCACAAAATGATGTCACGCACATGCGCAGAAGCACCAAATCGCGTCATGTGCAGATGCAGTGCTGCGGGTTGTGAACGCTGCGAGTTGCGAACGTGCGTGATAATATACCACTGTATATTATTTCCTCCATGCAGCTACAGTGACAGAACTGCATAGCATGGGGGATTTTAAATATATGAACCATTATTGGATATACAGTAGTACCTCGGGTTACATACGCTTCAAGTTACATATGCTTCAGGTTACAGACTCCGCTAACCCAGAAATAGTACCTCGGGTTAAGAACTTTGCTTCAGGATGAGAACAGAAATCGTGCTCCGGCGGCTTGGCAGCAGTGGGAGGCCCCATTAGCTAAAGTGGTGCTTCAGCGTAAGAACAGTTTCAGGTTAAGAACAGACCTCCGGAACGAATTAAGTTCTTAACCCGAGGTACCACTGTATGAACTTTTCATTAATTCCAGACCTGGTCACAAGAAACACGACGTGTTCCGGGGCTTTCATATTTCCAACAGAAATGTGCTAGCTACGCTTAACTTTTGTGTTTGACATTCAGAACACCTGAAGATTTTCTTTTGCAGAGCAGCTCTAGTAAAATTAATGACATGTACATTAATGGAATATTTTAATGTTGACTTGCAGAAAAGCAGTGACTGAAGTGTGAAATTAGGATTATAACAATTATACACATATACTTGGAGGCTTTAGATTTGTTTTTCCTCAAACAGTACCTTCCTCTGTCCTTTTAAATGCCACAGTACGAACCACTTTTAAAACTGAGGGAAGTTTTTAAAGCATCTTGTTATGACATAAGAGGCCTGCTGTTCAAAGAAAAGCAAACACTCAGCTAGGCTAACATGTGAGCCTAAACAGCTCTTTGGATTATTTCAAATAATGGTTTTTAGGCTGTGTGTGTGTGTGAAGCTTTATTTAGTTAATGGGGAAATTAGCTGATGTTTGTTTAGACACAAAGCAGTTGCGTTACCATTCTGAAATTTCACGGATTCTTCTGTGGTTTGGAACTCCTAGAATGTTGAGATATTTTGTATTTATAGAAAATGGCCATAGCACTGTATTAGAGCACATCCTCTTGGTTTTGCTTCAGAATGTATAAATCTGTCACCTTTTACTAAAGTAACAGGGCACGTGATTTGCCTACAGAAGTTCCTAGGTTCAATCCAAGTAGAACGAAGAAAAATATCCATCTGAAACGTTTGTTGCCAGTCACTGCTGCTGACCTATAGAACACCAGTGGTCTCACCCAAGGTCGAAGGAGGCATCCCATGTTTTCTATAACAGAGCTGTTGGTTCTGCAGAGGAAGATAGTCGATGATAAACTTGAGGTGGCTTGTGAACAAAAAAAGAAAGGGTGGAGATAACCAGGGCCTTTTTTCAGTCAGAACTCAGTTCCAGCACCTCTCTGGTGGGCGTCATTGCCATTTTCAGAGAACAAGGGAGGTGTTCATGGTGAGTTCTGGCACTTCTTTTTCTAGAAAAACAGCATTGGAGATAACTTTGTTCCTCGAAGTAGTTCCTTCCTTTTACTTGTGCTTAACCTGCCACAGGGGACGCGGGTGGCGCTGTGGGTTAAACCACAGAGCCTAGGACTTGCCGATCAGAAGGTCTGCTGTTTGAATCCCCATGGCAGGGTGAGCTGCCGTTGTTCGGTCCCTGCTCCTGCCAACTTAGCAGTTCGAAAGCACATCAAAGTGCAAGTAGATAAACAGGTACCGCTCCGGCGGGAAGGTAAATGGTGTTTCCGTGTGCTGCTCTGGTTCGCCAGAAGCGGCTTAGTCATGCTGGCCACATGACCTGGAAGCTGTACGCTGGCTCCCTCGGCCAATAAAGCGAGATGAGCGCCACAACCCCAGAGTCGGCCACGACTGGACCTAATGGTCAGGGGTCCCTTTACCTTTAACCTGCCACAGAAATTTACAAACTACTAAAAATGCAAAATCTACAAATTCTTTGAAGGAATATTTTCATTTCTGAAATTGTTATTTTCAATAGCTTTTCATATGGCTCGCATAATGTGGCAGAGCAGTTAAGTGTTTAGCATCGTTTTGAGTCTTTTGAGGTAGGTTGGTTTCTCTCTTGTAGCAAAAGAGAAGAAACCATTACAATATGGGCTGGGAAACAGAATGTGAAAAGATTTGCAGGGTGACTTTTACATTTCTTAGGTATTTATGTCTAAGACTGAATGGTTTGATATAAATTAAGTTATCATCAGATAGATAAATAAATAATATAATAAATTATTGTATTAACTTGATCTAGAAAATGTGAAATTAGTAAATTCTTTCTCAAATGCATCACCCACACCAACATTTTCTCCATACACCTGTTGGATTTTAGAACTGAATAAGCAGAATAAAAGCGTTATTTATTTTTTTATTTCTAGGGTTTTCCAGGGGATATTGGTGTTCCTGGTTTGAATGGCCCTGAAGGCCCAAAGGTAAGCATATGTGAAGTACTGTTGTAAGCTCTTTCAGAGTGAAGGATAATATCAGTATTCCTTGCTTAGAAAAAGTGTAACTTTTTTTTTTTACTTTGAAGTCACTATCCATTTGCTTCAAATAACTTTTATTCAGAGGTCGGTCTGTGAGAAATATTTTAGATCTTGACGTAGGTAAACTTGCTGCTCTTTAAAATTCAATTGTATAGTTCTCTCTCAAAAGCACAGTAGGAGAAGAAAATGGAAGAAAAATAGGCACAGCTGTTGGATCCTTCCAGTTGGATGTATGAAGGAAGCAAGGGTAAAAAAAATAGGCAGGAGTTTGTAGGAACAGATCCTGCCTCATTTGTTTTCACACTTCCCTTATCAACGGATCCCTGAAGCCAGAAGGGAGACTCCATAGACTTTGTGATGCTGTTCTAGTCATGGTCAATGTTCAGCTTACAACTGAGACTGTGAGTCTTTGGCTACCTAATCATAGGCAGGGCTAGATCTCTTCATCATTCATGGATGATGAAGACAGCAGTAAGATGATTGTGCAAGGGAGCTATAAGCCTGAATCCTAAATTCTCTGATGCAGCTATTAGCATTTCCTAATCCACTGTTACCAATAATTTTGGACTCTAATTAAAACAGGGTGTCTAGAACAAGGGCAAGAATTTGGTTTCCCCAGCCATGATCTAGTATCCTTGCTTTGTGGCTGAATGACTAACACATTGAATCATAAACAGCGCTATCAGAACTGTGACAGAGTTGGGTTCAGGTGACGAAATGCCTTGTTCTCAGCAGCTTCTTCCTATTTCTTCTTGGATAGGCTTTTGAAACACTGGATCCAGTGGGGATAGGGAAACCAAGGTAATGATAGTTGTAACTTGATAAAGGTCAGTTGGGGTGACCCTGGCACAGAATCCACTGTATTTTGAGGGTGCTCTCTGAAGCTGCCTCAAAGGGACTTTGAATTTTCAAGTGGTTGCAATCAAATGCCCAAAGACGAACTGAATGTATGGCGTCAGCATGCATGTGACCACCTAGGCTATGGTGAAGAACAAGCTTTGCTGAAACAGAGTCAGCATGGATTATGCAAGGGCAAGTCCTGTCTCATGAACCTATGAGAGTTCTTCAAGAGCGTCAGCAAGCATATAGAGAAAGGTGATCCGGTTGACATAGTGTACTTGGAGTTTCAGGTACCTCACCAAAGACACCTAAGTAAGCTTAGCAGCCATGTAGTAAGAGGACAGGTCCTCTTGTGGATCAGGAATTACTTAAGTAGCAGGAAGCAAACCATAGGAATACTGTAAATGGACAGTTCTCTGAATGGAAGGATGGAAGAAAGTGGAGTACCCCAAAGACCAGTGCTGTGGCCTGTATTTTTTAACGATCTAGAGTTAGGGATGAGCAGTGACATGGCTACATTTGTTCATCATACTAAATTGTTCAGGATCATTCAAACAAAAAGAGATTGTGAAGAGATCCAAAAGGACCACTCCAAACTGAGTGGGTGGTCAAATGGCAAATGCAGTTCAGTATAAACAAGTGTGTAGTGATGTATGTTGGAGCAAAAATTTATTAACTTCACATATATGCTAATGGGGTCTGAACCGGTGGTGACTTACCAGGAACAAGACTTTGGGGTCAAAGTGGACAGCTCAATGAAGATGTCGACTTAGTGTTCCACAACTGTGAAAAATGCAAATTTCATGCTGGGGATCATTAGGAAAGGAATCAAAAATAAAACTGCCAATATCATAATGCTGTTAGGCAAAGCTATTGGTGTGACTGCATTTGGAATACTGTGTAGAGTTCTTGTCACTTCACGTCCAAACTGATACTGTAGAGCTGGAGAATATTCAGAAAAGGGCAACCCAAATGATTAAGAGGTTGGAGTGACTCAATCCATGAGGAAAGGTTGCAGCATTTGGGACTTTTTTAACTTTTCACTAAAGCTCATTGATATCCAATAAAGCTGAATGTTGGAAGATTTCATGACAGATTTTTAAAAAGGGACTTCTTCATGCAGTGCATAGTTAAACTATGGAGCTTGCTCCCACAGAAGGCAGTGATGTCCATCAACTTGAATGGCTTTAAAAGAGGTTTAGACAAAATCCATGGAGGAGAAGACTATCAGTGGCTATTACTTATGACAGCTATGGTCTGCCTCCATGATTTGCAGCTGTATGTTTCTGAATACCATTTGCTGGAAACCTCAGGAGAGAAGAGTGCTGCTCTTGTGCTGAGGTCTTGCTTGCAGGTTTCCCACAGGCATCTAGTTGGCCACTGTGAGAACAAGATGCTGGACTAGATGGGTCATTGGCCTGTTCCAACAGGCTGGTCCTTATGACTTGTTTAGAAGTTGGCAGATGCTGCTTTAAAACATGGTCGCCATTGGTTGAAATTTTTGTATGACTACATCCCAAGATTCTGCTAGAATGCCTATCAACTCTAAATACACCTTGTGTGGACTATGACTTTCTCCCAAGCTTGAGACCTAGAAAAAGCATCTCTCCTGCAGCAACAACTTTGACTGCAATCATTGTCCAAGTCCAATGACACATGTTGATATTAATGTTGATGTTATGTCAACATTTCAGCCATTTATTTGGGTACAAATATCTGCGATCGGGAAGTATGTTCACATTTCTCCCTAGTAAAATATACTGTCACAACCCTCACTGCTCTAGTTTATTGCTATTCACTCAGATCCCTGCCAAAATGCTGATTAGTTAGTTGGAAACTTCAAATGTTGTTTGCTATAATAATAACTTTTACGAAGAGACTTTATGGTCTCCATAGATTTTTTTGGCTCTCATGCATGGAGAGCTCAAACAGCCATCTCTAATCAGAGAAAATTGGTGTCTTACATTTGAGATGAGCGTTAGACAAAATGGAAAAGCTTTTACACAGTCTATAAGACCAAGAGTCGAGGCCTACATGACACTGGAAATGTTCAGCTTTAGCACTCCCAGCTGCTTTGTGCTCACTGCGGTTTTGAGGAGTTCCCTCTCTCTCTTATTTTTGGAAGAAAGCTTTGCTAAGCCTCTCTTTTCCTCATTCTTCTGTTTTTATGCTTCCACAGAAGTTAAATGTATGCTAGCTGCCAAGAAAGCATTACAGAACTTTTGTGTTAACACTAGTTTAAGATATCCGCGTTTCATACTGTCTGCAAACACTAGACTGGCTGGTTCGTTATTATTTTTTCTATTTATTTTTCCAAATCCCTACAGTAATCAACAAATGTAATTCCCTGGTATATTTTAATTGTATTATTATGGACCATGATCTGAACATACAGTTCAGCTTGTAAACAACATTTTTCTTTTGACCTTTGGATGTGATCAACATCCAAACATCGTTGGAAGTATTTTCATTTCATTAGTTTTAGAAGAACCTATTGGTGGTTGATTTTGGTATGTGTGCTTTCCCTTGAGTTGTGTTTGCTGATGATATCTCTGGCCTCTCCATCACAAGAGCAGCTGACGTAAGGATGCTAATTGGTTAGATGAATCAATTAAAAACATTTTGAATATAAAGGCGCCTCCACAATTAACAGATTTAAGCAGATTTTATCTCAAGTGATTTTTTGATAATTAATATTAATTACTATACTTAAAAAAACCTGCAGGTAGCAAATGCTATCTTCGAAGAGGCATTTCGCCCTATGTGTACTAAAAGTGGCAATGTGTCGTCTAAGGATCAAAGTATGTGCAACTTTAGCTGCATCCTCATCACAGCTAGTTTGGCCTTGGATGCCGCAACCCTCAGAACAAAGAGAGAATGTTCTTCCCCCTGTCTGAAGATTTATGGAAATTTAATAGACTGATAAATCAATTAATCGGCTCATATTGATATGATTAATGGACTACAAATTGTCTATTCCCATATGAACCTGCACAATAACTTGGCTCAGGTTCTGAAGCCCTTCCATACACCCAAAATCAGAGTTTGTGATGGGGCAGAGCACCAGAGCACCTTTTCTGATGTTGGCATCTCTGTGGCCAACCTGGACCAGAATGGGCAAGGCCATGATGAGCTTGGGGCCACGTAGCTGTGCCAACAGCAGTAGCAGATTGTTAGTCCTACTGGTGCAATTGTATGTCCCCGACCTTGCTGCCATCCTACTCCTGTCCCGTAAAGCAGTGTTGGGAGGGCAACTCCATGGCTGTGCCCACTGCATGCATTGCCACTGCGCTTTGCACAAGCTGCTGAAAGGCAAGGCTGTCTTATTTCCAATGTAAACCTGGAAAGATGCTTTTCTTTTCCACCCAAAAAGTGTATTGTAAGAGTAAGAACCGAAGAAAAGAGGAGGCTGCCACTCAGGTTTCTACATGTCAGCGATCTGGACATAATAATAATATAATAATTTATTATTTATACCCCGCCCATCTGGCTGGGTTTTCCCAGCCACTCTGGGCAGCTTCCAAAAGAATATTAAAATACAATAGTCTATTAAACATTAAAAGCTTCCCTAAACAGGGCTGCCTTCAGATGTCTTCTAAAATTCTGGTAGTTGTTTTTCTCTTTGACATCTGGTGGGAGGGCGTTCCACAGGGCAGGTGCCACTACTTAGAAGGCCCTCTGCCTGGTTCCCTGTAACCTGGCTTCTCACAGCGAGGGACCTCAGTGTCCGGGCAGAACAATGGGGGTGGAGACGCTCCTGCAGGTATACTGGACCGAGGCCGTTTAGGACATGCCTCCTGATTGAAAATGGTCAGATCCAGAGCACTGACTCAGGCCAATGATGCAACATGAAGTCCCCTCTGGAGATACGTAATTTTATGATTGAATGATCCAAGTATGCCCAGTGCAGTGGTATCTACCTTCTAGCAGAGTTGGATTTAGAAGGGAGCAAGCCTATATCAAGTATACATTCGGATAATCAGAGCAGAGCCTTTCATCCGTGGCTCACGGGAACCTTTAATTATTTAATTCATTTATGTCTTTCAGCGCACTTATTTGAGAATTAATTGCCACGCATGCTGTAAAATGGAAATAGCTGGTAGCTTCTTTCCATTACTTTCTGGTGTTTTGTTTGGACTGCTTATATGATATTAAGAACTTCACTAATCCTGTAAGAGAAAGCTAATGGGGAAGTTACATAGCAATGTGAAGTATATATGACTCTTTGTAGACTCTCTAGATTCTTTCCTGGCATGTTTGATAAATCTCTGAAAGACCTTCACTTTCTTTTTTTAGTTGAAACTCCTGTAAGGAATGGAAACTTCAGTTAATTATCCTGATAGTGTCTAGAAACACTTTTTGCAAACTGGATAAGTCATGTCTAAAGATCCGCAGTAGCAAAGAAAGTTGCTGCCCATCTGCATCACATTAATTAATTAATAGTGAAAAGTATATCGTGTTCGTTGACAGGCATGCGGGAAAGAAAACCAACAGCCGTTTAGTAATATTTATATTTCCCCGGTACAACGTCAATGTTTGAATGTGTTCTTTGGCCCTAGCCAAGAATTTTGGATCCAGTATGTGCCATTTCTGGCCCTCTTCAAGCCATTCAGAAATTGTTTTAAAATTATGCTGAATGTAGAAGCAGAGGCTGCATTGTACAAACCACAGTCTAGCAGATCTCATTGGCAATGCCATTCATTAACTCAAAGGGCCATGTAGGACCTGAGGATCTGTTTATCCTTTTACCTACACCTTGCATGATTGGGTTTAACGTATGTTTGCAGGATCATTTGATCCAAGAGGAATAAACTGGTAATCCACTAGATGGGTGGTTTAGCTGGGTCAGCAGGATAAAACATAGTCCAAGACCAGGAAGTGTGGAAGCTTGGCTTGAGAGTGGTTCCAAGGAGAAAGGATGAAGTGGCAACAGAGGCAGGGCAGCCAAACTCCACTAGGCTGGAAACTGGAGATGTGTTCAATTAAAAAAAGAAGAAGTATATCCTGGCACCCATCTATCTCAACAGACAGTTGAGGGCGCCTCCGGGGGAGAAGTTCACAGTGCTGGCGAATCACAGCACTGTGGGCTGCAGAGACTGGTAACTTGTGACTGCTGCATCCCCTGTTGTTTTGGCTGCGTTAGCAACACTGAATAGACCTCTGGGGCGCAAGCCTGGGCAGTGTGTCTGGAGGTCTTGTGCTGGAGGTCTTTACTCCCGAAGCCTTTCTTATGATTGAGTATAGGTGCAAGGCAGCAGAGGTTTAGGATCAGAATTTTCACAGCTGTTATAACAGTGGTTGTTGTTCCTAGATAATAGACCTGCCTGTGAAGAGAAGGACTGTGTCTCAGTGGCAGAGCAACTGCTTTGCATGCAGAAGGACTCTGGTTCAATCTGTGACATCTCCATGTAGGGATGGGGATGTTCTCTGTCTGAAACTCTGGAGAGCCTCTGCCAATCAAGGTAGACAATACAGAACTAGACGAGCCAGCACTGCTCATGCTCTCGTTGTGTTTCTCAGTGAACATTCCTGGGTTTTGGGTGGTTCACTTTGCACAAGGGAACAAGCAACGTGGCGAGCTCACAAGCGGTTGAATTCGGTTCTAGCCTTATAAACGCTTCTTGAAATCACACGTCTTCCTATCGTGAGAAATTTTTGGAAATGTAGCTTAATGAAGGAGGTTGTAAGCCAGTTACCATACTGAAAAATCACGTGAAAAGCGGATTGTAGTAATTACTGTTAGTGGTTTTAAAGTAGACTTCCCCTATGGTGAATGCAGTTGACCACTTACTGAGTAGTAACTTAGTACAGTTATAGTTGTGCGTGTAATTATTTGAGCAGTTTTGTAGCACCTGAACCCAATCAGAAATGTGTGAGGGTGGGACTTACCTCTGAATATATCCCTGAATATTAGGGTAGCCCTGCAGAACAGTGGTGAAAGTGGCCAAGCTAAACATCTGGCCTCCATCTACAGCTTGGTTAAGGTGTAATATGAAATGGCAAAGCTGTTGCCATTTACTGTACAAGCAGTAGTGCTTCACTAGATCCAGACATCCTCACAGTGCTGAACTTGTTCCTCAACCCTTGTTTTCTATCCTGAAGTATCCCGGAACAATATAATAATTTCCCCTTAAGAAGTCACATTATTGGCTATGCTATATTGCGATGCTGGATTATATAAAACAGCAGTTTCCAAATTGTACACAGGGGCACACTGGTCTACTCTGAGAGAACTGATATGTTATACGAAGAACATTAATTAAGTAAGGCACCTGCAAGTACCCATCCCTGGAGGAGGAGGAGATTTGCATTTTTGCACGATTCAGTGCTCAGGGCTTTCCTGCTTCCTGTCAGCCAAAGCTGGGGCTGGCAGACATGCCACATATCTACGTTTGGTGAGATCAGGCATCTAACTCAGTTATTTCTAATGCATCAAAAGAGGTTTCTCCTTGTGTCTCTGTGTGATTAACTGCTCCAGCCTTGCCTCATTCCTATACGTTTCTGCTGTAGCAGTACTTCCATGTCTCCGGCAAGTATTACTGGATTGTTCAGCAGTTTGCAATGCACAAATGCAGCGTCTAGAGGTAGTTGTCTCTTGCATCTCTGCATCTCTGGACCTGTCTCCTTTTGATCAGGGCTTATGCTCAGAGCAGTTACGTGCAGAAAACAACATGGAACAGGGTTTCTCCAGTGGTGGGTAACCCTAGAGGGTGGGTTGTTTGTGTATTATTTAAGTAGCGTTTTAATAACTGAATGCATACAGAATATATAGCAAAGGCTATTTTATGATTCTTAAATCAGACACACAACTGGATAGTTTATGGATGAGTTATGGTTGAGTAAGGCCAACTTTAAATAAATTGTGCAATGTACTCCTCTCATTCCAGGCTGTTAGTGAATTGATACTGCAGTCCTGTGGAGTTATCAATTTGATTGTTACAGCAAAACTGTTGGAGACCCTTACCATGGAGCTATGTTTGTGTCCGAAACTCCTTTCCCCAGTTTCTTTCTCACCTAAAATAGGAAAATATGTGCCATTAGCAGGAAATGGTTATCAGCTTTCCCTCGCTATAACCAGTTAGTTTCCCATTGTAAGCTTCCTTGTTCTGCGCAACTGAAATGCATATGCAGATAATTGTATACATATTGTAGTTTTACTAAGAAATTCAAATGGTCACAAGGGTGCTTCCTAAGGAAACACTTAAAAGAATAAAATAGAGTGAAGTGTCTTAGCTTTTATAGCATCACTCTTTCTAGGTTGTCTAGACTAACATACTCATTCATTAATCTAAATATTTTGTGTGTGTGTTACTTAGGGATTTCTAGGTGACAGAGGACCTCCAGGACCACCAGGCCCCAAAGGTGTTGAGGTAAGAAAGCTACATTGTTCCCTTAATTTCACACCATTTTTTCCTTGAAATTGGACTCCATTTTCACTAACGTGGTTGCTTTTGTTTGCAAAGATATCGACCTTCTGTTTTGGCAGGTGTTGAATAGAAATTGTTGCACATCGCTGTGCTATTTATTTCTTTTGATTCCTATGCACTGTTTAAATGAGCTGAATCTGGCAGCTTGCAGATATACTGAAGAATTAAGTTTCACATTCTGAAGAAGAATGATCTGAATGCCTAAATAAATTGAATGAAGTTGTTGAGCGCATACATTTTTTTTTCTTTGTAAGGTTAGTTTTAAGAGGTATTAACGTTAAAAGATATTTCACTTGCTGTGGAGACAGTGGAGATATCTTAACATTGTGACCATCAGAAACATAGGTATAAGTAGCATCAACATAGGGTTTAATGAATATCTGTTTACCTTGGGAATTCCAGTAAATACAGCCAATCAAATACTTGGTATGTGAATTCTAGATGGTGGGTGAGATAGAGATGGAGAACCTATTGCCTTCTAAATGTTGTTTGACTACAACTTCCATCAACCCTAACAATTGGCCACTCTGGCTGGGAATAATGGGAGTTGTAGTCCAACAACAATTGGAAGGCCACAGGCTTCCATCCATTCTGTTTCTAGATCTCTGACTGCTGGTTATTAATTATTATTTTTAACTCTTTCATGTTTAACTGCACACAGACCCATTTGGGTGTTTAAGAGAATAGTACACCATGTGCTTAAAATAAACACAGCATTCAAGAATGGAGAAGAATGGCTAACCTGTTTTTATTTCAGGGAGAAGAAGGACCTGCTGGACCTATTGGGGGAGCTGGACCAAGGGTAAGTAACTTCATATTTTAGAACTGCAGTAGAAGACCTGTTGAAAGTGAAATTCTCCAACTGTTTGCCATTGTGGACATGGACATGAGTTGGGTTTGTATTTCTGTCACTGACTTTTTAGAGAGTTCACCCTGTAGCTAAGTGAATCAGTAGGGCATAGGAAAGCCTTCTTCAGATCCCTGTTTGGTAGTCTTGGGCATGAAACTCTCTCTTGACGTCCCTGCCTCATAGGGCTCTGAGAGGTTCAGATGAAAGCTGGGATGGAAACGTAGTCAGTGTTGTCCAGTTTTCTGCTTCCATCAGTGACCTGCCAGGTGCCTCAGGGTCAAACTGCGTGATGCACTTACTGCACCACATGCAGCTGTCTCTTTGTCTTTCTTAGATTAGTTACAGCCATGTCCCCCATTGTTACTGGATTGCAGTGTGCAGGGAGGGGAGGGTTATCCCTTTGCTGCTCAGCTGCGATCCTTCTGAAAACCACCCCTTCACGCACCCTGTTTTATTTATATACTTCCATCTCATGAAACATCAGGGTGCCGTTCAACAACAGGCAAACAGTAAAACATGAAAAAAGCTTTTAAAACAATATTACGCCAAGAGGCCTAGAGAAGAAAAGAAAAGAAAAAAGAGAAGAAAGAGAAGAGAAGCTCTTATTGGCATCAAAGGTTACTTCCTTTTCTTCTTTCTTATAAAGATTCATCACCACTTTGGAGAGGCAATTTTAGGAGGTTGTAGTTGGGGAGAAGGGATAATCATACCTTCTCTGTGTGATTTGATCCCAACACATCAAGCATGACATGTAGTTTGACCCTCAGAGAAGCTCAGAGAAGTTGGGGATAATGGAAGCAGCCATCACTTGATGTTTGTTGCCACCATCTGGTCATCAAAGGTGTACTGCATCTGGATATGAAAGTTGCACTGAAATGGGAATGGTATTATTGCAAGCAGCAGTAGCTGATGTTTTCTGCTCTTCGCCTTCCTGCCTCTTATCTGAGGGCCAAAGTTGACAGGACAGTGTTCACATAACTTATCAATTGGTAGGTCTGCAACATGGGTAGGGCTTTATTCCTTTTCACCTCTCTGTGGTCCAGGCCAACACACACCAAATTTCTATTTACCTTTAAACAACTAATTGCATAGTTGTTAACTGCATGAATGGTGTCACTTCTGGTTTGGCTCTGACAAGGCACCAGATGGAAAACAATATGCAAAATGGCAAGGTTTATGAAAGCTGAATGATATCACTCTGTCTTGGTTCATCTGTTTTTATTTATTTGCTTTTTATTATTTTTTGAAAATATATGCTCTACCGAAATGTATATACACTTAATTAATTAAACACGTTTTATATTCAAAATACAGTGCTTGTTTGCTTTTTCCTCTGAAGATCCAAGATAGATGTGTAGTTAAAAAAAAGAAGAGGCCCAAGCAAATTCTTTCACCATAATAATAATAATAATAATAATAATAATAATAATAATAATAATAATAATAATAATTATTTATTATTTGTACCCCGCCCATCTGGCTGGGTTTCCCCAGCCACTCTGGGCGGCTTCCATAGAAACCAAAAACCCCACTAAAATATCATACATTAAAAACTTCCCTGAACAGGGCTGCCTTAAGATGTCTTCTGAATGTCAGGTAGTTGTTTATCGTTTTGACATCTGATGGGAGGGCATTCCACAGGGCAGGCGCCACTACCGAAAAGGCCCTCTGCCTGGTTCCCTGTAGCTTTGCTTCTCACAATGAGGGAACCGCCAGAAGGCCCTCGGCGCTGGACCTCAGCGTCCGGGCAGAACGATGGGGGTGGAGACGCTCCTTCAGGTATACTGGGCCGAGGCCATTTAGGGCTTTAAAGGTCAACACCAACACTTTGAATTGTGCTCGGAAACGTACTGGGAGCCAATGTAGGTCTTTCAAGACCGGTGTTATGTGGTCTCGGCGGCCGCCCCCAGTCACCAGTCTAGCTGCCGCATTCTGGATTAGCTGTAGTTTCCGAGTCACCTTCAAAGGTAGCCCCACGTAGAGCGCATTCCAGTAGTCCAAGCGGGAGATAACTAGAGCATGCACCACTCTGGCGAGACAGTCCGCGGGCAGGTAGGGTCTCAGCCTGCGTACCAGGTGGAGTTGGTAGACAGCTGCCCTGGATACAGAATTGACCTGCGCCTCCATGGACAGCTGTGAGTCCAAAATGACTCCCAGGCTACGCACCTGGTCCTTCAGGGGCACAGTTACCCCATTCAGGACCAGGGAGTCCTCCACACCAGCCCGCCCCCTGTCCCCCAAAAACAGTACTTCTGTCTTGTCAGGATTCAACTTCAACCCATTAGCCGCCATCCATCCTCCAACCGCCTCCAGGCACTCACACAGGACCTTCACTGGCTCTGATTTGAAAGAGAGGTAGAGCTGGGTATCATCTGCATATTGATGGACACCCAGTCCAAACCCCCTGATGATCTCTCCCAGCGGCTTCATATAGATGTTAAAAAGCATGGGGGAGAGGACGGAACCCTGAGGTACCCCACAAGTGAGGGCCCAAGGGTCTGAACACTCATCCCCCACCACCACTTTCTGAACACGGCCCAGGAGGAAGGAGCGGAACCACTGTATAACAGTGCCCCCAGCTCCCAACCCCTCTAGACGGTCCAGAAGGATGTTATGGTCGACCAATAATATAAAGGAATATATACCCAGTTTAATCTCTTCTGCACATACAACTTGCCACAATAACACTTTTTGCATCTGCTGATTAGACGTTCTTCTAGAGTTTGACAAGAAGACACCTTTATAATATTTTTGGAACCTTGCTTGATGAGGATGCTAAACATGTTCCTCTGTTATCTAATGAGTTGGTATTAATGATGCAAATGCTGGAAATTCATTCTCTTAAAATTTGTCTCTGCACCTTTGATGGCAACAAATTTCCCATATTCCATTTCTTGTCTTTCACTGTCAGAACATCCCAGAATTCAGTATGATTTTAAGAAATAAATTCAATGAGTTTTAAAGAATAAATTCAAGTTTTTATTATGTTTATTAATTTTTAATCCATTAAAATACTCTGCTAATACGACCTTTTTGTAAAAGTAATATTTGAGGTCCTTCTGCACATTATTTGTTCTGTTCCCAAACCTGGCACACATAAAATTGCCCAGGTTGTTACTGTGTGTAATACAGCATATTCTGTGTTAGTTTAAGCTTCTTTTGTTCACATAAATACAAGAGCCTCTATATGTTCAATTTTCAATTCTAGCTAATCAGCAGTGGCAAAGTTTAGCTAAGCATTGCTTTTACTGTGTCAGCGTAACTCAGCTCAGTCTATTGAAGCATGGACAGGTATTTTGTGTCAGGCATGATACAACTCTGGTGCATTTCATGATTCCAAAGCCATTCAAAAGCAGAGGTTTTTCTTTATTTGAATGCAGGGAAAGCCTGGTCGAAAAGGTTATGCAGGTGAACCGGGACCAGAAGGCCTGAAGGTAGGGTTGACTTTTTTCTGAATTTACTATTGTAAATATAGATAGATAGATAGATAGATGATAGATAGATAGATAGATGATAGATGATAGATAGATAGATAGATAGATAGATGATAGATAGTAAGTATTTATTGTATAGCTAATACTAGGTTCACAGATGAAAACTGAAAGCTAGTAAAAATATATCAATTTTTATTTTATTTTATTGTTCCTTATTTCAAAAAAATGAAACTCAAAGCGACTTACAAAAATGAGCATTCAGAACAAGGATAAATCAACCAAAAATTATTTCTCTCTCTCCCCACTCTCGCTGATTCAACTTCACCCCAACATACTCTTTTCTTTTCTAGCAGCCTTTCCTATCTCCACCAACATTTTCATTATGCCCCTTGATCCACCTTAGAGGCTTTTGGGGATGTTATGGGCACCTGAGGGAGAAGGTGATAGGAAATTTCCCTTCTGTGGCTCCAATCCATAATCTCCAAGTGTGTAGGACTTTGTGCACATGTTGGCCACCCCTTCCCTGCCCATAAAACACACAGCAGTCTCCACTCTTCTAGAGGAAGTCCAAATGGTGAAGCCACCCAAGAGACCATGTTGTTGTTGTTGTTTAGTTGTTTAGTTGTGTCCGACTCTTCGTGACCCCATGGACCAGAGCACGCCAGGCCCTCCTGTCTTCCACTGCCTCCTGCAGGACCATAGAGACCATAGTCAGCAGGAACAAATCATATAATCGTAGAATTGTTGAGTTGTAAGGGACTCCAAGGGTCATCACCAATCCAATCCATTGCAGTGCAGGAATCCGGCCCATAGATGTCCCTTTGTGTCACTCTAGCCCACCCCAGCAAGCTTTGGGTTGAGGGTTAATATGATGAAATGTTTAAGGCAGAGGATTGCTTTGGCCAATTATTCTACCCTATCCAGACCAGCAAACCACTATCTAGACCACTTTGAGTAAAAAGAACTTACACCGCTTCTCAAAAATATACAGGCTTGGGCTGTGGCAGGTAGCTAGGAGAAGAACATATCGATCCCCACAAGAGATGCCATTGTAGATCTGACCTGGTGCATTGATGGTGTACTTTTTTATTTTAAAAAAAGGTGTCCCTAGACATGGCGGAACATAGGAGTAGGGGAAAATCTGCCCAAAATGCTTGGTTTTTTAGTGGTTTATGGGTCATCAAAATTACCTCTGCTTGAACCTGGAATGTAGTTGGGAGTCAGGTTGGGAATGTTGGTGCAGTCCTTATGACCCACTCCTTCAGGAGGCAAGTCATTTTGCACCAGTTGAAGCCTCTGAATGTCTCTGAAAGCTTCCCCGCAAATGACCTTACAGTTTTACCTGAAATAGGTATATTGAAGGTGCACATAGGCCTGTTTGTGAGTAGTATCTGGTGTGGCACAGTGTGCGTTCGTTCACCTGTGGGCCATGGAAGATGGAGTGAAAAGGCCTCCTGCCAAGTGCACAATTGCATCAGTTTTTGAGTAACGTGTATGCATTACTTCTTCCTGAACTAATCAGCCTCATCTGACAAATAATCAATGAATATATTGTGCTTTTAAAAAGGGGCTCTGGCCAAGTAACATTATTACATAATGCAAAATATAGCCAATTTATTTTAGCATGGCAAACTTGTAAAGATGAGTAGTACTGGAAAAGCAAAAAAAATATTATTCTGTGCATTGATAAACTGCCTTAGGGAGAGGAAATGCACTAAGCTGTTTGAGGTAAGTAAGGATTGAAAACTTCCTCTCTGTTAAAATGAAATTGTCTGCTAAATTACTAAATCAATTTTTAAATTCACAGGGAGAAACAGGAGATCAAGGAATTATTGGGAAAACTGGTGAAACAGTAAGGATAAATTTATGTTTTATTCACAGTATGGTATATTTTGTAATGATAGCCAGTGATTTGGAATGGGAAGACTCACAACTTATGGTAAATAGTGGTGCTGGGGGCAGGGGAAGAACTTGGCATGGGGCTGCAGTTTTCAGTGGCATCCCAACGCCAAGTATATTGTTCCACCCTCAGCAAAAAATTAAACTTTATCCATAGATTAATATTAATAATTTTATTATTTATATCCCACCCATCTGGCTGGATTTCCCCAGCCACTCTGGGCAGCTTACAGCATATAGAATAACATAATAAAACATCAAACATTAAAAACTTCCCGATACAGGGCTGCCTTCAGATATCTTCTAAATAATACATTCAACCTTCAGCACAGCTGCTTCTGTTGAAATGCTCATTTATCTTTGGGCTGCTCCAAAGTTTGAGCAGGCTGGGTTCCAAATGAAGAAGAAAAAAGGAATTAACTTGTGTCTATATTTTAGCATAGAATATCTAATTAACTATCTCAAATAGGTTTGCATATAGCCTATCAGATAAGCATTCACTTACATTGGTTGCTTTGATTGCAATGCAAATACTAGCTTGGGAAGAGCAATTTTCTTCCGTTTTCTTCAGAAGTGTTACACTCCTGCTCCCAATCTGCTGCAGTCTCAGTAATTATCTGTCCCACTCAGGAGCTGCTATTTGCGTTTTTAAAAACCTGCATGTTACACGCAAAGATGCATGCAATATCACATTAATTTGGTTTGTATAAAATGCTACAAAGGTGCTCACTGTTGTTATTAAGACCCCCTTGACATCTTTTCACAGAATCTATAGGATCACTTTCTTTCAATAGTTGACCTACAAACCTAACTTTGTTGTAGACATGCTTTAATTCTCCTTTATGGTGTCCATAAACAATATCAGTTTTCTTGTTTCCAACAACTCCTACTAAGGGCCCTCAGATCCCCGTAACGGTTTCTTACTTCAGATTCTTCCTGGTTCAGCCAAGGGCTGAAGTTTGAAAGGAACCAGGGACGTCTTAGCCATAGGCACTAGGGGTGCGGGGCGCCTGGCTCTCAGGGACACCAGGCTGAGAGTTGAGTCCGGGGAAGAGCCTGCCCATCGGTTGGAGAGCTGCAACAGGCTCTTCTGCTGCGGGCGGCTGCACCGCTAGTTCAGGGGCAGCCAAGCCAGTGAGACGTTGAGGCAGCCGGCTGGCTCCGCCCTTCATGCCTGTGACTGGGTAACCGAGGGGGGGCGCCGGGCGGATCTTTGCACCCCTGTGCCGCATATTCCCTGGAAGGAACACAAAACAGCATAATTAGTACTGACTATGTGCCTCTGCTCCACTGAGGGGGAAGGAGCTTGTATTTCTCTGGGGACACAAAAAGAATACAAAAGAAAGAAAGAAAGAAAGAAAGAAAGAAAGAAAGAAAGAAAGAAAGAAAGAAAGTCTTGATTAATTTAAGATTGGGTGGGTATGCTGATTATAGATGCTATATGTTGGTGCTTATGTTTCCCCCCAAATTATTTTTAGGGTAATGCCTATTTTTCATATGCAATAAAGAGGAGATCTAGTTATAAACTCCAAAAATATTAACACAAGACACTACTAAACATGTTCATCTGCTGGGGCACAAATTTTGCATTGGAGCTAATAAAATATGGAGAAAAGTATTTTAGATGGCATGCCTTGCAATACTTTGAAACAGATGTTGGAGAATATCACCACAAGTGAAATAAATTTTGGAATAGTGGTTACACTTACACACACACACACTTACTTTATCATTTCATTCTTCAAAATATTGGCAGACATTCATCCCTGCTTCTTGTAAAGACATAGGTAAATATTATTGCCCTTCATTTTACAAATCAAGAATCTGAGGTAGACATTAACCAAGATGAACAGGGGAGGTCCAATCCAAAATACCAGTGTGGCATACTATCTGGAAAGAATTAGGGAGAAATGTTCATGGATTCATTGGTATTCTTTTGTAAGAAACTGTATGCCTTGCAATATAAAGCAAAACGGGGTTAAAGTTTAGCATCTGGTCTGAGCCTTTTTATTGAATCCACTGTAATTAAATTTTACGGATATTTTGTATAGGTAATCCCAAAGTTGTGTCTCGGCCTAGTGGAACTACTGAGCTTTTTTTTTAAAAAAAAAAAACAGCTGTCTCTGTGTTGCATCTCGCTCAGTTTGTGGCATTTTGGCGTTTCCTTGAGCTATGTTGTGTAGCCTATGTCGGTGACTGCAGTTTCCTGGAGCTTTAAAAATAATTCTATGGTGGTTGTTCACAAGGTTCTTAAACTGTGATTCCATATATGACTCAGGAACAATCTGGGACCGCGTCTTCCATGTGAGTCACATGACCCATGCGAGATTGTGGCCCTCCAAAAGAACTTGGGGGGCACAGTGGCCAAAAGCATTTGTTTTGGGGCACCATGTGAGATCACGGCCCTGAAAAAGTGCTGGGGGATTTTGGCCAGAAATTGTGCAACAGCACGGCGCCCAAAATGGCTGCCATGCTCTCGCAATAAAAAATGGAATCAGGACAGCTGAGGCATGTGTGATTCATGTGCATGAACTGATTGACAGCTGTCTCCCGGGTGCTGATGACAAGATTAATCTTGCTAAAATTTGAGAATTTTTCAACAGAATTGAATGTGAAGTAGAACTAAATGAATTGTTTAGTTGAGTCTTAAATATTTGTGCTCTCCTACTAGAGACAAAATAATAGTCATCCCTTAGGAACACATAGACACTAATACAGAATATTCGAATAGTGGTCCGAAGGATGAAATACAAAGAGAGAAGGATAACTCACATTAAAATAGAATCCCTGGTTATTTGTTTCCAAACCACAGATATATTTGTGTAACCTTTGGCCCTACTTGCAAATAAGTATTATGTACAGAAGCGGCCTTAATTCCCTCTAAAAATATTATCGATATTGTATACAATGTATGTCAAATGTATTGTTTGTTTGGTTTCTTTTCATGAAACAAAGCTGTATTTACACAATTAAATATATAACCAGACGTATATTTATTGTAAAAACTCATCTTGCAACTTTACTTCATTAGAAATGATCAAATAAATAAACAGCACATTTGGCCTATATGGTGCAGTAGCCAAAAAAGAAAAATGCTTTTAAAAAACAAAAGTAGGAGTAGTGGACTATGGTGAGTTGTGTACATAGCACTTAATTGTAAATTTGGACCAAATGTTGCAATTACTGAATTTAAGGAATATTTTTTGAGGTAGATGATAACATAGAATAGTAATGGAAAGAACTTTTTGGCTTTGGTTCAGTATTATCATAAGTGCATAAACTTGACAAATCCATGGACCTGAACAACTGAGTCTCCTCATTCTGTTTACAGCCCTCCTGGCCAAATTCTGTACCAGGTGCAGCTTCCAGACCAAGGGTAGACTGAAATAGTATATTTGGATTTTGAAATACTTTCTTGGCTTTTATAAGTGATGCATGCATGAATGTGGATGGTATCTATAGTCCCATTGATAATTGGAGATTATTAGGTCATAATTTTTCACAGTCTGAACATTTTTATCCTACATTCATGTATTGTTGGAAACACAGAGTTCCAAACTGCCCTCCTCTTTATGCAGAAAACACCACTGCTGGTGGTACTCTACATCATCATCATCATCATCATCAATCATTATTATTATTTCTACCCTGCCCATCTGACTGGATTTCCCCAGCCACTCCGGGCAGCTTCCAAACAGGTTAAAAATACATTAAAACATCAGTCATTAGAAACTTCCCTAAACAGGGATGCAGATGTCTTCTAAATGTCATATACGGTAGTTGTTTATTTCTTTGAGATTTGATGGGAGGGTGTTCCACAGGGTGGGTGCCACTACCAAGAAGGGCCTCTGCCTGGTTCCCTGTGACTTCGCTTCTTACAGTGATGGACCCGCCAGAAGGCCCTCGGCGCTGGACCTCAGAGTCCAGGTTGGATGATGGGGTGGAGACGCTCCTTCAGGTATACAGGAATAGTTATACATTTGATTAGAAGATAAATGTATTTAATGCTCCTTATTTGGATTTATGAGTATGGGCAATACTCACAAAAGTGATAAAAACTTGATAACAATCTCAATCAGTTTATTACGGTCATAGACCAGTTTAAATCAGATAAGAGTTTTGCCTGTTAAATTATATCTGAGTTCTAGATGGTCCATTGTTGATGACACTTTTTAATCAAGCTATATCCATCTCCCTGGACTTGTTTAGAAGTTCTAGCAGGGATGTGTAGAAACACACATATATGGTAATAAAAATTCCTGAAGCAATCTAGACAATATGCTCTAAATCTGTCCAACAATGTCCTCATTAAAGGTGGGGAGAATGATTAGATTGATAGCTCCTAATGTCTGGGGTTTTCCCCCCTGTTACTTGTACAATTCTTTGTTATGCAAGATCTCCATGTGCCCTTGGCAAACATCAGTTTATTTATACTGTACATTTCCACAGTGGTGGCTTACAACATACCAAATGAACAATAATGAACAAAAAAATTACACACATTAAGAACAATTAGAAATAATCATAATGTCAATGAATACCGAAAATCCACACAGAAACAATGGAAACAAGCTAACCAAATTTAACATCTTAAAACTCAACAAGAGAGAGAACAGTAGCCAACAAGGAAATAAAATTAGCATATACAAAATAGATGTTGATTACTAGGGAAACCTAGCCAGATGGGCGGGATATAAATAAATTATTATTATTATTATTACTCCTAAAGGAATAACATTAAATGTGTGCACAGTTACCTCTCTCTGGTTTTTCCAGAGTGAAAGAGCATCAAGGAAGCTTTATAAAATGGGTATCTGATGTGCTGAAAATCATGACACTTTTGAAGCAGCAGAGAAAAGTTGCGGAAAATTCTACAGGAATAATGGGAATGCCTTGCTATAATGGGATTTTAACAGGCACAGCTGGCCATAGTTCTTTCCTGTTTGAAGGCTA